ACGTTATTTCGTCCAAAATATTTAAAAGTTCCTTTATAATGTAAGTCCGTATCCAAATGCTAGGTATCCCGAACTGCGAAAATTAAAAAAAAACTCATTCAACGTCGAGACGTCAACAAGAGCAGACGTCTAAACCTCTCTCTCCAAATTTAATAGACTAGAATTAGAACTTATTATAATGAAATGTACTTATTGCTAAAAGTATTAATAGTGTTTAAGATGTAATTAAACGATCTTGTTGTCAACATTTTTGTGGCATTTCATTTGATAAGTGTAAGAATATTTAAATAATTATTATGATGTTTTAAATAAATAAACTACGTATTTATGACAGCCTTTTGATATTTTCTTATGAAATTCCCTTTTCCTACGCGAATTAAAGCTTTATAGCCAATCAATAAAACTTATGAGAGTTGCTAATTAAAATCTACTTTAATACATTGTAATTGGAGCGTTAAAACAAGATCCTAATGCGCGATGGTCATATAAGTTTTAACTACTTCAGAAATTGATCTCATAAAGTTATGTATGAGCTATAAAATTTGCTACAACCTAAGTTACAAATACGAGAGTTCTGGTTAGGTAAGTTTCAGGAACATTAATAAAAGACATTAAATAAATATTTGTCATATATTTCGCTCTAGGACACACATATAGACAAAATACATAAAAACTTCAAAATAGCGGCTAGTAAGTACTGTATTTTACAATTAATACGATTATATAGTAATATTCGAACAATATTATGAAACACACTTATGCCCGTTATCACCAACTTCTCCTACATTTTAAGAAACCCCTAAACAGAGTTAGGTGACATAGGTTCACAACCTATAAAGTACACCTAACGATACAATTAGAAGACAGTTTAGGTGGGTATTATAATGTAAGTAACATTTAGTCAAAAGATATTTTAGGAGTGGTTTGTGACAACGGCATTAGAGGGAGAGAACCGATATTTCGTAAATAGATAAGAAATTAAGTACATAAACCGGTATATGGGCAAAGATTGGCATTCTGGTACACACTCTTCTCATTGGTGAGTTAGTTTTGGCAGGTTATCATTAGAAAACATGAAAATTAAATTAATTAAGTATTATGTTTTCGGCTTACTCACGTAACTATTTGATGAGAAACTTGACTAGTTTGCTGCTTATGAATATGAGCCTCCATCATGGTTTGAAACTAGTCGAATTCCTCGTCAAAAAGTTCCGTGAGTAAACCGAAAACATAATAATTTTAATATGTCTCACGAAAGTTATAATATAAACAATTTAATTGAAAGTGGGAAATTGATTTAATATACATTTTAACATCGTTCTTTAACTCGTCGAGTACCGGTTTTATAGACACAATTAAAGAACAATAGGTCGCGGTCACCGGTGACCGCTTGGTGTTTGACAGTTTAAGTTAATTAGGCTGGGATAATGCAACGTTTAAAACGTTCCGCGCTCTGATTGGCTGCTCAAACTTAAACAGCCAATCAGAGGACTAAATAAGACAAAGTTTTGTTAACGCAAAAATCTCGCATTAGACCCTTTGTTAGGTAAAACACATTCATTGTCAATACACTGTCAGTCAACTTGACGACATAACATTAAAAGGCTACTCAATTTTAAGTATAATGCTGTATTTACAATAACTATCGTGAGACATACTAAATTAACTAAAATCGCGGGTTATAATCACGTGAATATACTGAAAAAAGTTCTACTAGTTTCGAACCACAGATGGGTTCTTCCTCATGAGCAGCGTGCGCGGTCGCGGCCACATCGCCGCTAGTAAAGCTTTTCTCAATATATTCACGTGAGTAACCCGCAATTTTAGTTAATACAGTTATGTCAATACAAATTGTTTGTAAAATGACATAGATGGCGCGATATTTAAGTACAACTTCAAATTGAGTAGTATTCAGGCGTTAGAGGACCAAAGATTAACACGAAGGTTGCCAAAATTTTTTTAGAAAAATAGTTAATTAATTTCAGCATTTCCAACACAATAAGCCTACATGCAATGACCAATGACTTGACCTATTTCTAAGTAAAATAATACAGTAATACGATAACAAAGTACACGCAATAATATATCTTACGACCAAGGTATTAAGGTTAACTTTTGTGCCTATTGAGTTATTCTAGAAGGTTCAAGAAGTATTTATGTAAAGTTTACAAAGCATGAGAGCATACGACGTATGTTTAGTAATTTCATAATACATAAAACTTAAATATATAGGTACTCAAATAGGAGAATGAATTACTTTTGGTGGCGAAATAGAAAACTATTCAATTTAAACTACATTTTTCACGGCGTATTTTATTACGAAAAATTAATACTAGAGGACATCAATTAACAACGTTTTACAACAGCCATTACAAAGACAAAATTCAAGACAAAATCTGACTCAGTGCTGCCATCTATTGAGACAAATACGTAGTGAAAATGTATATAATGATAATAATGATATACTCCTCTTTACTGCTACTTAATAGGTAACACAGATACCGAAAAAAGTAAACGTAGAAATTGAATTGCATTTTATTTTGTCGCCCAATGTAATACACTAATAATAAAAAATGACAAGAAAATATTACATAGCACCATACATTCCCACTAACCGTAGAGTTATTTACAATAAATTAACGAAATCATATTATTATATCTACAATACATAATACATACATTTGTCATGCGTTCATCTACTGAAGATCACTGCACAGTGACTAAATTTGATTACAACGCCATCTATCCTGTAACTAAGGCGTTGGCCGTACTGGAGCGGAACCGCGAAGGTTTCGCCAATCTTCAACGGTCAAGTACGGAGAACGTTTGTGTATAAAGTAGAAGTTTAGTAAAATATTCCAAACAAGTATTTTATTTACACCTGTACTTTTAAAAATTACAATAATTTGGGCAAGAAATTGAGGCCTAGAAAACGAATAATACATTTTAAAAATTACACTTTCTAAATTATATCAAACATATTTATATAAATAACAATATTATAATAATAGTGAACAATGAATTTAAATACATTTACAAATTACTTTTGTACGATATACAAAAGACGATCTTTATGTACTTACAACAATTTTATTTACGTTTTTTAAACCAATTTTTTATTATAGAGCGAATTTAGGGTGTTTTGTATTTGCTTTATATATAAGTCGGTAAACGAGCATACGGATCACCTCATCGTAAGCAATCGGCGCCGCCCATGGAACACCAGAGGCGTTGCAAGTGCGTTACCAGCCTTTTAGGGATTAGGAATTTGTGGGTTGTTGGGGATTCATGATTATTGAGTATTATTGAGTTGATATTGAGTACAGACATCGAATTATACAAATTTTTCAAACATTGGTGGCACTAGTATTAAAACTGAACGTTTATTAACCAATCGAAATGATTATATTCAGATCATGTGGATATTTTATTTTTACAAAGTACTTATGGGTTTATTGAGAAAATCACGCTTCAATGAATGTTGGTACAATGAAAAAGAAGTAATTCTAAATTTAATGTCTCAATTTGTTGTACTTGATTTGCTGTCTGTACGAGGCCAAATTAACTTTATCTACAGTACGGTATCTACAGTTATTTCGGGTGTGAATTTAGCCGCAATACACTTTCGCGCATGTATACTCGCAAATAAGTTGATTAAACAATAAAACGACTGTATTTATTTAGAGTCAATCCCTAGCATATCATGTCCCAATTGGTTAAGTTGGTTCCCAAAAATACGTTATTGCGCAGTTTTCAACGCGAACTTTACACCCGCCATAACTCGTGATCCGTACTGAACAAACTTTTCTTTCTGTCAATAGGGTCAATAGGGATGTATCTCGTTAGTTAAATTGAAAACACTGAATGACAAGACGATTAGAATTTTGAACGAATTTCGAGCAGAATTTTCTTTCGTTTTCTTTTCTGTACCCATTTCTTATAAATCAAGTACCTAAAGAAACTATTTTAAGATATTGAGAAGTGTGACTATTTTAAAACATGTTTAGTATTGAAAAGGTCGAAATTAAATTTTGAACTAAGTATTTCATTTTGTCGCACAGTGCCGTTGACGCGTCTGTGCGAACGCACACTCCTGCCGGTGACTCAAATATGGATACATCCCAATAATAACTTTCCTACTACACACAAATATATATATCCTATAATTTAAAACATTTATATATCGAAAATAACTGAGTATATTAAACAGTCTGACTTAGCCCTAAATTTAATATATTTAGGAAACATGCAATACTTAGGTATTTTAATATTTATTTTACAAAAATACAGTTGCGTGCAAAATTAATAACACAATTATATTTCATTGGTATAATTCGATTCAAAAGTAAATTAAAGCTTATTACAAGCGTTTTTTAAACATAAATTTTAATATAATAATCTCTATAATTAATTTTATTTGTATTTTTGCACGCCACTGTATGTTACACGTCAATTGAGCTGGATTAGAAATGGCAATGGTAATGACAGAAATTAGTCGTCATAAAGAGATTTTCAATTTAATTACAAAAGGATAGGGTTGAGAATCTATTAACATTAGAACGCTAGACGTCGTATCGGTCAATGGTGACCGATGCTAGTTGAAGATTATAATTTTCAATATTTTCTGTGGACCGTCAGAGGTAATTAATACATTTGCAACTTTATTTTAAAAAAGATAAGGTTGAAACTTCATTCGACCGATTTTTGTCATTCTCAATAGTAAGACTACCAGCTCTGGTAAAACAGACCTTAGAACAACGCAATAAAGGTCATCAAAAAATTCACAGACGTGCTTTCAGCTACGAGAAGCGATTAAGGATAAACTCCAACATTAAAACTAAAAATTAGTTTCAAAAATCCTTACAAAATAAAAATCACATAATCGGAACACAAATAAGGGCAATATTTTCAAAATCAGCAAATGAACTAGGTACCTACGTATATTTAATTACAAATATATAACAAGTGTCATAGATATGTCATGTCATAGTTAACAAAATTCAGTATGTTATATGTACTATATCGCCTCCTACGGACAGGAGACATTGACCCTGGAAAAGAAAGGATATTGTCATAAAAATGGCCGAACATTTTACTTGATATACACACAGGGTGATTCGTAATTAGACCACAATCTCGAATGGGGTTTATCTGTTCTATAGAACAGATAAATTTCAACATTTTTGTCGAACAAAGGGAAAGGAAATACTTAACGTTTAGTGTTAATTTCAAGATGACGCCCACGGTACCTCTAAAACTGAAAATTCATAAAAGAAACGCGGTTGACCTAATTTTCTCTTTTTAATTATCTTACTTTAGTAGTTTATTTACCAGTTCTAATCATCAAAATAGATTTCATGTGTCCAACACTATTGTACAGTGGCATTAAGTGCCGTAATGTACACCTCTGCCTACCCCTTCGGGGATAAAAGGCATGATGTTATGTTATATTCTTCGACACGATTACATTTATAATATTAGTAGGATATAATATTTACCTGATTCTTATGCGCATTGTCTTGCAACATGAGCTGTGTGATGTAGAAGGACGTGAGCGCGTTCCCGCCCAGCGCCGCCGTGTAAGCGCGGACTATCGCCATCACCTGCACCAATACTTTCAGTTAACAAACACTCAATGGTGAAGTTTAACATTGTTTAACAGTTTGCACCAATACTTTCAGTTAACAAACACTCAATGGTGAAGTTTAACATTGTTTAACAGTCAATTAGCTCGCACTGCACAAGTGCCAAAGTAAGTTTATTTTCTCTTTACGTTTTTCTATTTAACTAATCATTTTTAAATTTTGAAAGAATATAGAAACATGAACACAAGTCTAACGACATATGGGAAAACCACGGGTAAATGCTATAGGGGCATATTTTTTATGGGGTAAGCCGGTAAACGAGGACACGGATGACCTGATGGTAAACAATCGGCATCGCCCATAGACACTTAGAACACTTTTTTTTTTTTAATATTATAAATTATTTCTCCACGGACTCTAGGTCCGTGCCCTTGTCATACAGTTTTTTAATTATAATACATCTAGTCAATTTTTATAAAGTAAAGAGGGAACCTAGTTACACACTACAATTAACTACATCTAAAATTATTACCAAAAGTATAGGTTACATAATAATTAGGCACTATTTATTTATTTCTATTTCAAAGGCTTTATGAAACCAGCCCACCAACAAGATGGGAGAGCCGACCTGACCCAGCAGAAGGCACCCGTTCACGAGTATGACGTGTGTGTCAGCAATTGGTCCGGTCAACCTTTTTATTGGGAACGGAACAACCCAACACACAGCGCCACCGACTGTAGGACATTTATGTGTGCATGACGCCTCAACCTTTGCCACATGGGCCGATTCCAATAAAGCGTACAATAGTCCAAAGTCAATTGGTTATATTCTATTTCTACATGTTTCTGCACACACATTTCCTCATGTTGCATTCGTTCCATCACAAGCAACACTCCCCGCCCAAGAGAGCACCCATGACTGCCGCGTCCCTGTGTCTGATAGCCATTTTCAGGTTGTAGTCCTTAATACCTTGCTCACCCTCATCAGCCGCCTTCCTGATTAGTTTGCTTATCGCGTCTTCACTGTTGTCTGTGTAATAGATGCAACCATGCGTGTGACGCGATATTGCTACTACCGCGTGTGGTACGCTGTCATGTATTTGATGTTTCTTTGTTGCTGTGTTGACAACAATCACATTCGCACACGAAAGTCCCTGTGCCTCGTGTATCGTGAGCACGCGTGATCCCACGGTCGACCCGTATCCCTGGTTCTTAAGGGATTCCTTCTCTGCCTGAGTGTGTACCAGGTATAAAGTGTCGGGGAGTGACTTTGGAATCATCGCCCCCGAGAACCTTTTTATCTCGAGGGATCTCACGAACGACCTGGACGAGTATATGCCACTGTAAACTGTGCTGAGGGCATACGCCACATCCATTGGATTTCTGTGGGTACACATCAATTCCTGGCTTATGGGCGTGATATATGTAGGGCGGCTGTAGAGTAGAGGGAAGAGGTTATCACGATCTATAAACGGAAGCTGATTTATGTCACCAATTAGAAGGACTTCCTTGGCTCGAGTTATTCGGGCGGCCATCACAACGGCTCCAAAGTGGTTCATGAGAGCCTCATCTACCATTAGTCGATGGCAGCTCTCTCGCTCCCCCAAGCCGTTTACTAGGATGGACGCCATTGTTCGAACCCTAGATTTGACGAGTCCTCCGATTCGGCAGGATAGTTTGCCTCTGAGGTCATTTGCTGCTTCGGTTGTCGTGGTGACAATTAGATCTTTGCCCGCTTCAAATTGATCTACTATCCATGTCGTTTTTCCGCAACCAGGGACGCCATTTGTCCAGCGAAACGTCGGAGTATGCCAGTCTCCAAAAACTTCGCCGTCTGATCCAGAATCAGAAATGGATCTTGCCATCTCTAATATTCTATCGTCCAGCATAATTCTCGTGCATTTGACAACCACTACTAGGGAATCCCCTGGAGGAGTTTTAAACTTTAACACTCCGCATCGATCGGATTCCCTCTCGTCCAGAGACACAAATCCTGCAGTTGCGTTATAAGCAGCCATACTTCGAGTTATAGAGGTTCCTCTCAGTACCCTCGAGGTGTTGTTGTCGTATATGACTGCTTCTGCTGCTTCGAGTCTATCGTTCAGTATTAGCTCGTTTCCTTGCAGGTAAGTCTGCAGAATGGATTCGCATTTCCGCATGTTGACCTGCCTGGTTGCCTCCACCACTGCGGTAAACTCGAGAAAAGCATTTACGACATGGTCTCTGGTAGTGGACGCTTGTCGAAGCCTCGGCGGACAAACGTGACCCATAGCTGCTCTTGTTGGTGATGACCTGGGGGGAGGAGACTGTATTTGTGCGCCTCCTGATCCTTGAGCAGATTTAACCACATTTTTTCTGAAGGGTGACGAAATCAGTCCGGTTACTGAGCATATGGCCGCTGTTATTGCCCACACTCTACCTCGTGATTCTAATTTTTTATTTTCCCTCTCGGTGTTTTGTTGGTGTTGTTGCAGAGCGCTTTGTTGCCTATATCTTTGTTGTAGACGCTCTGAGCCGCTTGGAGAATCCACCCTAGCGCGTATCGAACTGGCTTTTTGAGGAAACTCAAGTCCTCACCCCTGTTCTCGTACACGATGACTTCATGATGTTCTGAAGCCCTGACGCATCCTATAAGGTCTGCCGTTCTCCCCTTCTCATAAGCTACCACGGCAGCGTCCACACTAATTATTCTGGGAATCATACCCTCGACCTCTCCCCGCCCACCCATGTCCGACAGCACACCGCAAGCTTGTTCAAAACAAGTCATTGAGTCGACGCTGGAGAACATTGCAATTGTTTTATTGCGTGTTCGCAGTAGTCGACAGCTCCGACCCAATAGTTGCATTTCTGGCAGCGCATCGTATGTTTTGCGCCGCATACTTGTCTTGGATGTGCTGCCATTCATTAGGGAGGCTAAGCCGGGTGAAATAGTAAGCCATTTGCTGTTCTTGCTTTCGCAGAAGGCTATCCCTAGCCTTTCGCTGCTGGTGTTCATGAACAGAGCTACACTTCGTAGCCGTATTCCTTTGGAGCCGCATTCTCCATGCAAGAGTATTTGCCTCTCATTGATGGTGAGCGGTTCAGTGGTACGGGCGATCTCGGATACTGCCATGGAAGTATTTGGTTGATTCTCCAAGTTGGCTATTCGATTTGTATTATTTAATGTGCTGTTTCTTTCAGCCGCCCTGTTGAAGATGGTTTCAATGTAGCTCAGAAAATGCGGTCTTTTGGTTTTATCAGCCAGAATGGCACTCAGATTTGAGGAATCCAGATTTGCATCTATTACATTTTCTAAGTTGGTTCTTGCGGCTAGAAAACGAGGACACTCTAGAATAATGTGCCATACAGACTCACTGATAGTTGAATCGCATTCGCAACCTGCACTTTCTTTTAGTTTAATAATAATAATAATCAATTTTATTTCAGACTTAGTCCATATTTGTTAGTAACAATGTTCTTAATCTAGTGTTAGTAAAAATACACACAACAATCAGAGACAATAATAACATACAAATAAATAAATGAGTAATAAGTTAGTAACAATATTCTTAGCCGAGTGTTAGTAAGATACATAGATATACATATATACTTGTGATTAAGTCAGGCACTTGCTCTCACGTGTAGGCCTATCCAGTGCGCCATCAGCACCGAATCCCAGCGTCCGGCACACGCGACCAGCATGCCGCTAGGGCTGCCGCGCACTCGCGACATCATCGATGCACAGCGCTTACGCATGATGGCATGGAAGCCATCCACATGCGCCTCCGCGAACATGCCACTCGCACTACAGTAACGCGGCAGCCCCATCAACACCCTGAACGCGTTGTTGTACTGAACCCGGAGGGCGTTGTACGTCCCCTGCGTGTATTTAGCCCACAAACTGCATGTGCAAAATGTTTGGCAGAATGCCCTAAATAGTGTTACTTTCACTTCTTGGGTACAACGAGCGAACCTTCGAGCCAACATATTACAGGACACACAACGCCCTACGTTCTCTCGCAATGTCCATATCGTCCTTCAGGTCATCGGTAACCCAGTGGCCCAGACACTTGAAATGTGCTACTCGGTTTAAAGGCGTACCATAGAGTGAGACAGGTGGTATGTCTGAGAGATTCTTTTTTAATGCCTTAAAAACCATAACCTCACTCTTCTTTACGTTGTATCTGAGCCCATGAGCCTCCGCATACCTTTCACACGTACGAAGCAGCCTTCGCAACGCGCCGATTGATGGGCTGAGCAGCACCATGTCATCCGCATAACTAATATTATTTACGCAAACGCCATCTATGTGACATCCAACTCCTGTGCTGCTCAGCTCTCCAATCAAGCGATCCATGTACAAGTTAAAAAGTTTAGGCGAGGTCAGCCCCCCCTGCCTCACCCCGCACTCCAACCTGTACTCGTTCGATGTACTATCACCCCATCTAATAGTATTTTTCTGATTGTTATACCAATACTGGAATATTGATATAACCTCAGGACACAAACTAGTGTCTTGTCGCATCTTTTCCCACAATAGATCGTAAGAGACCATATCAAATGCCCGTGAGAGATCCAGAAAACAAGCGTATACAGGCGTCCCCCGTGCGGTATAGTAGTGAACGGTTTGCTTGAGACACATGATAGCACTTTCTGTAGATAGACCAGCCCGAAAACCAAACTGGCCATCGATCGTCCAGTTTAAATCGATGCAGATATTCAGCGATCCCTCCATGTCCAGTCAGCGCCTGAACTTGGGCAGGTGTCAACTTTGTTGATCTCACTATTCGATATGCCTCATGGACATCTGGGAGAAACGTTTTAGTCACCTGCCCAGTAGTTGAGGTGGTATACCTGTCCTGCCACTTACGGATAGTTTCGTCCCTAATTTTCTTTTTGACATAGGACATGGGTATTCCACAGTAGTCTGCCGTGGTGTTATTTTTCTGTTTGGCAGCGGTTTTAGCTAATTCGTCTGCCCTCTCATTTCCTGCCGTTCCAACATGGGCCCTCAGCCAGTAGAATCGAATCTCTCTTCCCTGTTCCGTTATGGTCTCCAAACACTGCTTTATCTCCTTGGCCAAACAGTGGGTAATCCTGGGATTCTTCAAAACATCGAGGGAGGACCTAGAGTCACTAAATATGTTTACTCTAGTCGCTCCATTGTCGAGAACCATTTTAGCCGCTCTGTTCAAAGCGTATAGTTCAGATTGGAAAACCGTGCAGGAAGGGTCTAAACTAAAAGTGGAAAACATGGACTCACGACCGCCCTCCCACCAAGTCAAGGCAGAACCAACGCCTCCGTTAATTCTGCTGCCATCTGTGTATAATTGAGGCCAGCAATATTTTGGACGAGAGGAGATCCAGAGTCATCGTTCTCCAGGAGCTCATAGTTGATAGACATTAATTTTGAGGGATGTGGCTGGTCCAGGTAATGGACCCGCTATTCAAGCTCCTTTTGAGGTGGTAAGTAGTCCAGAGAGAATCCTCTTTTAATTCGATACAAACTGGCAAATTCCTGGACTCTCAGATCGAGTGGGAGAGTTCCGGACAAGATTGTTGCTGACGTGAGCGACACTGTACGATAAGCTCTACAGATTTTTTGTGTGAATCCCCTTTGAAGAGCATTTAACTGTTTTTTGATCACCTGTAGCTCCGTCACTGGGGCCCACACGTTTGCGGCGTAAAGTACAATCGGCTCAATGACCGCGACGTATATTGTTCTCGTTATTTCCCCGTTGAGACCCCACGTCACCTTGGCTGCGCGTGCTAGCTGTTTGTAAATGTCTGCAGCTTTCTTGCATATGGCAGATATATGTGACCTGAAGGTGAGTTTTCTGTCTATCGTGAGGCCTAAGAGCTTTACCTCTTCTACGAGATTTATTCTGGTGCCTGCCATAAACAGGTCTGGGGGCTCAAAAACATGCCTTCTTGTCAGCAGCATAGCGTTCGTTTTACTTGCCCCGAATCTGAGCTTGTTGCTGACCCCCCAGGCTGCTACTAGTTCCAAGGCACCATTTACCGATTGCTCCAATGCACTCACTTTATAGTTCGAGAACAAGAGAACCACGTCGTCCGCAAAAGCCTGGCAGTAAACACCAGAGACGTTACAAGTGCGTTATCGGCCTTTTGGGGATTAGGAATTTGAGCATCGTTAGGGATTCAGGGGAGATTGTGTAATTGGTCCTTTAACTAAACTGAATCTAGCTAAAACTCATTACCGCATGTAACCCAGTTATAAGTTATAAACGAGACGAAAAACATTGCAAGTATTAAAGTATCGACTCACCTCACAAGTGAATGTATGCAGGAACCCGCTGAGCCCGCCCAGCTCCCGCACGGCCGTGGTCTCCCGCACGAACAGGAGCCGCAGCGCGCACAGCCGCCGCGACACGCGACTGCCGCTCACGTGCGCCAGCGGCGACAGAGACACCGCGCTCGGGACCTGACACACATCAGAACGTCACATCACGCCCGCGACACGCGACTGCCGCTCACGTGCGCCAGCGGCGACAGAGACACCGCGCTCGGGACCTGACACACATCAGAACGTCACATCACGCCCGCGACACGCGACTGCCGCTCACGTGCGCCAGCGGCGACAGAGACACCGCGCTCGGGACCTGACACACATCAGAACGTCACATCACGCCCGCGACACGCGACTGCCGCTCACGTGCGCCAGCGGCGACAGAGACACCGCGCTCGGGACCTGACACACATCAGAACGTCACATCACGCCCGCGACACGCGACTGCCGCTCACGTGCGCCAGCGGCGACAGAGACACCGCGCTCGGGACCTGACACACATCAGAACGTCACATCACGCCCGCGACACGCGACTGCCGCTCACGTGCGCCAGCGGCGACAGAGACACCGCGCTCGGGACCTGACACACATCAGAACGTCACATCACGCCCGCGACACGCGACTGCCGCTCACGTGCGCCAGCGGCGACAGAGACACCGCGCTCGGGACCTGACACACATCAGAACGTCACATCACGCCCGCGACACGCGACTGCCGCTCACGTGCGCCAGCGGCGACAGAGACACCGCGCTCGGGACCTGACACACATCAGAACGTCACAATCACGCCCGCGACACGCGACTGCCGCTCACGTGCGCCAGCGGCGACAGAGACACCGCGCTCGGGACCTGACACACATCAGAACGTCACATCACGCCCGCGACACGCGACTGCCGCTCACGTGCGCCAGCGGCGACAGAGACACCGCGCTCGGGACCTGACACACATCAGAACGTCACATCACGCCCGCGACACGCGACTGCCGCTCACGTGCGCCAGCGGCGACAGAGACACCGCGCTCGGGACCTGACACACATCAGAACGTCACATCACGCCCGCGACACGCGACTGCCGCTCACGTGCGCCAGCGGCGACAGAGACACCGCGCTCGGGACCTGACACACATCAGAACGTCACATCACGCCCGCGACACGCGACTGCCGCTCACGTGCGCCAGCGGCGACAGAGACACCGCGCTCGGGACCTGACACACATCAGAACGTCACATCACGCCCGCGACACGCGACTGCCGCTCACGTGCGCCAGCGGCGACAGAGACACCGCGCTCGGGACCTGACACACCACGACGGTACAGCAGAACGTCACATCACGCCTTTTATCCCCGAAGGAGTACGCAGACGTACACATTACGGCCCCTAATGCCACTGTACAATGTAACACCACTATTCACTATTTATGTTATGAGTCCCATGTAATAGGGGGTGAGCCTATTGCCATATACAGGGAACATTTCCAGGCTCCTTGCTACTACTGAGATTTTAAAAGCTAGTGGTACTTTATATTTCTGAATAAAGATTTTATTGTTTATTTATTTACTTTTCCCGACCCGGGCATTGAACCCGAGACACCTTGCCCGGCAGTCGCACTTGCGATCATTCGGGACGAAGGAATTAAATAAAATTATAAGTATTTGGACTATATGGCAACAAACTCACCCCCTATTATATAGATAGACTATACTAGACATAGGGACTCAACATAAACAGTGAAAAGTGAGTGATATGTACATTTTACAGTGGCAATAAGTGCCGTAATATGCACCTCTGCCAACCCCTTCAGGGATAAAAGGCGTGATAATATGTGTGTATTTGAACTACCTACGTTAAGATGAATATTAGGTTTTATACTGTTACTTTAGAGAAATAGAATTATAATGTAAAAAAACTTTAAGTATGATCTGATTGCTAAAAAAAATGGATGACAGAAAAGACGTCGTTTTAGTAACGCTGGATAGACTCATAACATTAAGCACGTAAACGAAAACCGAAATAAATAAAGAAAATTGATTTATTTATACTTGGAAATCCAAAAGATAAAACACAAAAATCACGTATGTGATCTTCATACAAACGCAATGAAGTGATAGAACTTTATATAATTCAATTTAGCATTGTTCAAAAATATAATCTTTTGGTACAGACAATCAATTTTTTCTTCACGATCTTTTTGGCCTCTAGATGGCGCCATATACTTTTTTTATAATTTAATGTAGCCTTTAACCAGCGGACTAATGACTAATGGACGCTTCTAACGATACCTCATTTATAAAATTTTGACCAGTATTTTAGGAGTTAGGAGGAAACAGATGAACATACATTCCGGTCAAAATTATAACCCTTCTTTTGGCTTCGTCGTAGTCGGGTAAAAATTCTAAACTAACGTAACTTTTTGTAACAAAAGCATATCATTCCTCACCTGTCCATTAATACTATTCTTCTCCTCAGGTAACTCAGGCGGACTCTTAACAAGTTGCTCCTCATCCAGTTCGAAGATGTCATCGTCAGCGTCTCCGGTCCCGTTGCCATGACTACCGTGACTGCCGTGACTACTGTGACTACTAGGGTGACCATTCTCCACTGTATTCCCCTCAGGACTGTTCGGGTCTTGAAGAGGAATGGCTGCTCCTGATACTATGAGTTGAATTTCGTCCTGGGGTGAAGTAATAATAATAATTATTTAGTTTTTGTTGATTATTATGAATCCTAGATGGGGTACATCTTAATGCTATGACCGAGTATTTTTTCATATTGGAAATTCGGTTGATATTTGACCATTATCTCGCCTCCACCAGCCACCATTAAGCGATGATGCGGTCTACAATAGAGCACGCCTTTTGGTGACCTAATGGACATTTCCAGGTTGAAAGATAAAGAGGAGGCCTGTGCACAGCAGTCTTTCAAAAGAAGGTGATGGAAGTATACTAAAATTTGTACCTCTGGCAGCTCGAGCTGGAAGCGCGGCGCGGTGAGCGCGGCGGGCTGCAGTCGGCGCAGCTTGTACGCGACGCCGTCGAGCGCGCGCCGCACGTGTCGCTCCACGCACGCGCTGCCGCCGCCGCCGCCCAGTGACAGACGCCCGCGCCATACCTACGGAAGGGTATCATGTAGTGAATACTTTTGACGTGCTAAAACTGATAAGTTCACATAGGAAAAAAGCGAGTAGATTACGAGAATTTAACGTCTGACTAACGCCATCTGAAGTAAGAAAATCATAAAACTGTAGCGAGCAGACAGTGGCGTGCAGTCCATATAGGCAAAAAGGCTTTGCCTACCTTATAAATATGGTAAATATATCATACATAAAATGTACAAACGCGTTTATTAAGATTCAATAATATAATAAAAGTTTGTAAAAAAACGGCTAACATAAATACAGGGTTACAGGAAAAGTCGTGCTAGATCCGTTAAGGGCGTGGAGTACTCATCATTTCTGACTTATTTCACTATGAAACACCCTATCCTAAACTTAACCCTTTTCGAGATATTCGACTTTTAATGTTTTTAATGAAAATTGTCGATTTTTAGGCTACTAAATTTAATTTTGTTTATTTTATGTGTCTTATTATTATTATTATTCCATTTCAACATGTGTAATAAGATGCTTTAAAATGAAATATTGGTAAACCAATATTAGTAAGTCAAATTTCATTTGACTTACTAAATTAACTTTTGTTTTTCTTTAATTAAACGCTGCATTACCTTAATTTTTCAGCTAAATTTTTTTTATTATAATATTATCAAATGACTATTGGTAATGACTTCAATTCATTTCCAATGTTTTTTTCGGCCATATTGTTTTCATGTGATGTGCGATCGCTTTGTTTATGTTTTCGTTTAAATTATTAGGAATTAGTTTTAAACATAAATTTGCATAAATATGTGTAGAAGTAGTTAAATATATGTGTAGGTTCTTCAAATAGTTCTTATTTGTTTATCAGTGTCTTGTACAAGTACCTATATTATTCGATTGTGAAGTTTGTGTTGATAATAGATAATTTTATGTCTTTGTTGAAAGTGTAAAAAAGTAAGTTTTCGCAAAAAAATGTCCTTTATCGACTAGATTCAGATAATGACCATAGGCAGAGGTGTACTCGAGTTACGAGAATTGACCCAAGTAAAAGGTAGGTAATGTAAATATGTACTATAATGGATCTTTTATTTGATTTCCTTGTTTATTGTTTCTTAATTCTTAAAAATATCAACTTAGACTTCGAGTTATACTGATTCACATTACTTTATTATTAATAATTATGTAATGTAATAACAAATGTACCGCTTATATTCGGCTCGGCCACAGCCGGCTGCGCTTGGTATTGTTTTGTTTGTTGACATAATGTAGGTACCTACCTACTTTCTTAAATTCGTAATATATTATGATTTTGAATAGATTGGTTAAACTTAACAATTCGATAATGGAATTTGGTTCATCAAAGGGCATTGACTAAAATTGGTGCCTTTCTTTTTTCTAGCGGCAGTCGATGATTTATGGAAAATATTATCTGGAATGACATTATAAACGAAATTGTCTATGGGCTCATATATGGAAATCTCAGTCTGGACTGAGTTATCAGCGTTGAAAGGAGCTGGAATCAAACATCTTACTTTGTTTTTTTTATTCAAATTATTCATATTTTTGTCACAATTCCTAACTTCAATTTGCGCGCCACTGTACGCCGGGCACAGGAACACCACATCACACCACAATATATCCATATTTCCAGACACTAATTGTTATTACCTATATTCTCTCAGTCGATAACTTGTATGATGCTTCTAGGAGTTGTGTCGTGAAATTTCATGAGCGTCAGCTGTGGTACCAGTGGTGGGTTGAGTAGTGGTAGCCATCCAAACATCTAATAAAGTATTTTTTTGCGGTTGACTCCTGTTTGGAGACTCATTTATAGTTAGTATAATCTTTTGAAGAAAGGAAACCGTCGACTTTGTAAAGTGATTGACTAAACGTCAGATGAGCGCATATTTTTTTCATATAATGTGATCAGTCGAAATATAATCCATCACTTTGTGACTGAATGGCGGTATCTTTGTACAGAATCTTGTGCTAGCTGTAGATTCAAATATTAACTGTAGCTAGATTAGTTACTAATCGGAAGTAGGTCGGGAGAAGTAGACAGAAAAATGTTTTTTTTTTGTGTATTGACGACTGCCGCTACTTAATCCGCTACCAACGCTGCAACTGACAAACATAGCATTTCATGATAATCCTATCATGAAAATCTTTTGATCATGAAAATCTGTCATAGGCCATAAACCGTATACATATGTATGTGTACATAAAGTGAACACGCTAGCCAATAATGCAAAATATGCATCATTATTAGTATTATAAATAGATCCTTCATTATTTGTAAGTTTTGTTGGCTTATTCGATAGCTGATGAAGTACTTCACAAAAAATACGCGAGATGTCAGTGTATGTAATTTGGCGAAAGTGTATGAAATTTACGCACTTTTCGAAATATATCTTGTGTGAGTATGATTATATGACCGGGGGGAGAGGTTTAATCATACGATATTTAGTTGCCTACCCTGTCTCGAAAACCTGTGCACAAGAATAGTTAAATAATAAGCTTAGATTAAGTATATGTGAACAAAATGGAAATGAATATGTTTGTTTGTTGTTCAATCATCAACAGCCTATAAATGTCTACTACTGAGCAAAGTCTCTTCCTACACGGAGAAGGTTTGAGCATTAATCACCACGCTTGCTCAATGCGGGTTGGTGATTACAAACTTATAATTAGAAATTATAAGCCCAGGTTTCCTCACGATGTTTTCCTTCACCGTTTGTCAGTGGTGTCTAAATAATCTTAGAAAGTACATATAACTCTGAAAAAGTCAAATTGGTACTTGCCGTTGTTAGGTTTCGAACTTGCACCCTCATGCATGAGAAGCGAGCGTCTTAAACCTCCGGGCCACCACAACATTTTGTTGTTTGTTGTTGTTGTTGAAGTGAAAATAACATTACCCGATTGCTTTGCCTCTAAATAATCATTGTAATATACTTTTAAATTTGTGTCTTTAAATAAGACTAAAAATACCAAAAAATCACAAAGAAAAGACAAAAAAGCAAAAATTTATCATAAGCTATAATATTTATATAAAAAGTAGCATAATTATGAAAATACAAACCTGCGCAAACGCCTGCGGTGGAGCTCCGACGACGGGTTTGAGTCCGTGCGTGTACACTTGCATGTTCACGTGACGTTTGGCTAGCGCACGCGCTGTTTCTACCTGCATAATACAAAATATTATTTTTTCATGGCTGACGATTAGAGGCAACAAAATGTTCTTGTCTGAAACAGTAGTATTGAAAATTTCGTCTCGACAATATTCAAGACCGATCGAGAAGGATACGGATGCTTTCTATGGATACCTACTCTCTGCCCTATTTAGAACAATAGAACTTTAAGTCAAGTAAGTCATAGATTATTAAAAGGTAACAAACAGGGGTTAGTTGCTAAATTCGTCATTTTTATGGGATTATAAATAGGTACGTGCCTCGTACCTCAAAATTAGTATCATACTTAAATATGTTAATCATTTAAATGGACCCTTGGGTACCGATCGACAAATAACCGATCAAGACACTTCTGCAGATTCATTACAGGCATTTTCGTTTTAAAAATAACGACTATGACATATCGATGAGTGCCTAAGACGAAATCTTCTATGTGCGGTTTAACAGCTAACGGCCGAAGATTATGGCAAGCTCCCAAAGCGCGTACCACATTACATGAGCAGTACCTATAAACGACTACACTATAAAAAAATCGCCCCGCTAGCTCTACTTTCACGTGGTATGTAAATTATTTTTCTTTCTCAAAACGCTCAGAAAAATCTTCTTTCCAGTGCTCTGGCGCCAAAACTACTTATATTACCAAAAAGCTGTCTAGACATAAATTGTAGAATATTGTGAGTAGTTTAATTTTGTAGTTAACGATTTCCTCATAAAATGCACAGGAAAAGAGATATTGTAAAAAAAACTGTTTTTGGCCGCCAATTTTCCAAGATGGCGGCGCGAGCCGCGCACGTACCAAGGTGCAAAATGGAAATCAAAAAGACCACATCAAAATGTACAAAGTTGCCGATTTACAAAACTCCCGGAAAACATTCCAGGTAGAACTACCAAATTACTGAACTAAAATTCAACATTATTTTGACGTGACAACGTCTTATAAATTGGTTTGCCGGGTGACACTTCAAGAAACTGCGTTACGCTCCGCTCACGTTATGCGCTCACAATGAGAGCGAGTGAGAGGCACGCGCCCCTTCCACTCGGGCATGGTTAGCCCGCCTAAGAGCGAGAGAGACAGACATAAAAATTTCATCCTTCTTCCTACTATACGAATGAATATTCACATTAAAATTATTTTACCACTCAAAGTCGTTGTCACGTAAAACTTTCGCCCGTATACCGACTTTACAGGCAACCAATTTTTTTATTGTTGTTTTAATCCTGAAAAAATAATTATAATTTTACAAGAAACAGTTACAGGGTACATATAGACTTACATCCTCAGCCTCGTCGAGCTCCAGTACGCAGGCGTCCTTGTCCGCGCAGAGGTCCAGTGCGGGCGCGTCCTCGCCCTCCATCTCCGGCAGCGCGCCGTTTGTATTGTGCTCGGTCACACCTACACCATTTTATAGCAGAAATAAAATAATGTTATACTTCTAAAATAATCATAAAACAACGCAAAAATATTATATTATTAAAATAAATATACATATATTGCTATAAAAAAACAGATTTTTTTCTTCATTAATTTTAACCAGGGTCCTAAAAGTGGCTTATCCATTTTATCGTCATTAACATTACGGCTTCTATTCCCGAAGAGGTAAGTAGACGTGCAAATTACGGCACTTCATGCCGCTGTACAATGTAACACTCACTTTTCACTATCTATGTTATGAGTCCCATGTAATAGGGTGTAATATGGGTGAGCCTATTGCCATAGACCGGGCACAATTCCAGACTCCGTGCTACTACTGAGAACCCGAGAACCCTTGCGAACACTCCGACAACGAGGCCATCAAAAAAAAAACAATAGTAATAATAGTAAGTCAAATTTAAACAATTTTACAAAACAAATAATTATTTAATTATTCCACATTACATTCAACCAGGGCACTAAAAAAAATAAGTTTATCCGTACAATATAATACTCACCAACATCAAAACCGTTGGCCACTCTGTTAGCCGCGAACGAGTCCCATAATGCTTTCTGTATTTCCAACGCATCTTTGTCGTTTTCTGACGCCTACAAACATTATTATACTTTATTAACACCAAAATATGCGTACGATTGATGCTGCTTTTAACATTTGCAAATATTAAAATTATTGTAAAATTAAAAACTATTCGAAAATTGCATAAACACAAACACAAGACGATTTCAATGAGAGTTATGTTTTTACGACGCTTCTGTGTGTCTAATAGATACAATTATCTACTATCAAACCATTAGAATGTAATTTTATGACAGTTATCGTGGATTGATAAATATATCTCAACATAAGTACCATTTGGTAAGAAAAAAGATATCCCTTATTCGTGAGTATTTTATTATTTTTATTATATCTATCGGGAAATATACTAAATTACCTAAAAATCGCAGGTTACTCACGTGAACATATTGAGAAAAGCTCTACTAGTTTCGAGCCACAAAGGGGCTCTTCCTCATGATAGCTGGAGAGCCAGTGAACCCTGGGAGTAACGGTCTCCCTGTAAGATTAGAAATTTGTATACTTATGATTTATGGTATTCTAAGAGCAATAGCCATGACATGGCAGGCGTCAGCCCTGCACGTCATCAGCCCCTTTATTTTTTGAACTGTTAAGTAAATTGGGTTTCAAAACTTGTTTCTGTAAATTTGAAAATTTAATAGGATAAAGTTTATTTATTGTACATCTTAAAAAAAAATTGACAGGTGATTACAATAAGCAGAAGTATATGGCAGATCAATTAGAAAACGCACAGTTGATGAGGTAATTAATAAACTTTATCCTGTATACTTGAAATTTTTATATGTCTTCAAATAAACGTCTCAGAGTAAATATGTACAATGCCAGGCGGTTTTGAACAGCATAAGACATTGACAGGCGAGGGGACAGCTGCTAAGAGCGTGCGAGAAGTGTCATGAAGATGGTACAATACATAAAACTCAGAAATCAGCAATGGTTGAAATTTTAAAGGCAAATTTTAAAGGCCTCTTCATGGTTTTGGCACGATAAATCATCATTTATATCGACAACCACAGAATATTATGGACACTATAAGTATGGCATTGTTTGTAATTTAAGTTCACTATGGTATTCCCGATAAACTCTATCATTTCATTTGTGCACCAATGTGTAATTAAAAAATCTACGAAAGCTTCTTTAAATTGTATGTTACGAAGTTCTTTCATAAAATCAACTGGTCGAATTTGTTCTTGTCCGGTAATGAAATAATTTTGTTTTCGTACTTCTTGTCGTTTGGCTCGTTTATAATCTTTAATTGACGGCGAAAAGTATTGTCGGTCGAAAATGATATCTACTCGTGAGGCATGTGTAGCTGTTAGTAGCGACATAATATTTTTGGAATACCACTAAATGTTTTGGGGATATTTTTTAATGTATGCAGTAAGAAGAATCCATCAAAAATGACAACATCAAAACGTCTTGGTACGTCTTCACAGTTGCCTTTAAAATTTCAAACCATTGCTGATTTCTGAGTTTTATGTATTGTACCATCTTCATGACAGTTCTCGCACGCTCTTAGCAGCTGTCCCCTCGCCTGTCAATGTCTTATGCTGTTCAAAACGCCTGGCATTGTACATATTTACCCTCGCCTGTCAATGTCTTATGCTGTTCAAAACCGCCTGGCATTGTAAAAATTTACTCTGAGACGTTTATTTGAAGACATATAAAAATTTCAAGTATACAGGATAAAGTTTATTAATTACCTCATCAACTGTGCGTTTTCTAATTGATCTGTCATATACTTCTGCTTATTGTAATCACCTGTCAATTTTTTTTTAAGATGTACAATAAATAAACTTTATCCTATTAAATTTTCAAATTTACAGAAACAAGTTTTGAAACCCAATTTACTTAACAGTTCAAAAAATAAAGGGGCTGATGACGTGCAGGGCTGACGCCTGCCAGGTCATGGCTATTGCTCTTAGAATACCATAAATCGTAAGTATACAAATTTCTAACCTTACAGGGAGACCGTTACTCCCAGGGTTCACTGGCTCTTGGACTATGAGCAGCGTGCGCGGTCGCGGCGATGTCGCGCGGCGGTAGTCTGATCCTCTATGGGTCGAAACTAGTAGAACTTTTCTCAGTATATTCACGTTAATAACCCGCGAGTTTTGGTTTAATTAAGTATTTTATTGAAGCACACCTTTATCCTGGGCGGCGTGGGCGGCGGGAGTGCAGCGAGCCTGCAGGCCGTGCCCGTGGCCAGCGCCATCACGCACCGCTCGCCGATAGCTATCTGAGTCTGTAGCGAGAATATCGCGTTGGCGCCCTGTAAGGAGAAATAAATCATAAGATCTACGGGATTAAGTCCAGCTTTGTACAGTGTTTTGTGCAAATAGTTGCAAGTGCAATTATATATATGTACCTACTGATGAGCTACATTTTCTTTACTCTCTCTCAAATTATTGTTTACCTAATTGGGTACTTGCCTTAATCAAAAATAAATTATTTCGACTGTTCAATACAATAAAATATTAAAAAAAATAATCACACTTTCATTAATTGATTTTATGACCAACTTAATTTTAGTGCTTTCCAGCATTTTTTTACGAAATAAGTATGCTGTTTGACGCTAAAAAAAAACGTGACGTCACAATACACAATCTCGTACAAAATTCATAGAAAACCGTTTTTACCGACTCCAAAAAAAGGAGGAGGTACTATGTTTGGCTGATTGTCTTTTTTATTTTGACGGTTCGAAAAAAGTATTGAATTTGACTAGTTGGCCAGCAGTGGCGTGCAGTCCATATAGGCAAATAGGCTTTGCTTGACATAAAATGTACTAACGCGTTTATTAAGATTCAATAATATAATAAAAGTTTGTAAAAAAACGGCTAACATTAAATATACATTCACATATACTATACACGGACCGCACGCCTTTGTAAAGCAATGAATGCGCGCCGCACGCACCACGCATGCGCTGCTATTCCTTAAATCTTGGTTGGTGGTTGTGACGTCACAAAAAGTATGCAACGCGCATGCGTGAAGGTCACGTGACTATGGTCACAGCACAGAATAACCATTCATAAACGCAAAAAATTATTACACGATTCAATCTAGCCGGACTTGATGAAATTTGTGAATCTGCGCCATCTATTGAATTTTTTGTTAAAACTTCTGAACGCGTTCGGTATAATGGGAATGTCTTTTTATAATTATGCATACTAAAAAAAATATGTTTCAGGTGTTTTAATTAAATCTTAACATTTTTACGCGTTGTCGCTTTATAGAAACTTTAAACGAGGAGTTGACTTTATTATTTAAAAGTTAAAAGGAAGTTATCGAAACGTCAAGTTGCCGCTACTCAAAGTTTCAAATTATTATCAACGAATGTTTCTTATGGAAAATAATAATAAGACAATGATGCAATTCCATTTGACTTATGTAAATTAACGTTTGTTTTTTTTATAATTAAACACTGTGTTGCCTTAATGTTTAGCTATAATTTTTTTATAAAACACTCAATTGACCACGATGGGTAATGACTTTCCAATGTTTTCGGCCATATTGTTTTCATGTGATGTGCGATCGCTTTGTTTATGTTTTCGTTTAAATTATAAGGAATTAGTTTTAAACATAAAGTTGCATAAATATGTGTAGAAGTAGTAAAATATATGTGTCGGTTTTTCAAATAGTGTATTTGTTTATCAGTGTCTAGTATATTATTCGATTGTGAAGTTTGTGTTGATAATAGGTAATTTTTTGTGTTTGTTTAAAGTTAAAAACAGTAAGTTTTTGCAAAAATGTGTCCTATAACGACTAGATTCAAGTAATGACCATAGGCAGAACTCAAGTTACGAGAATTGACCCAAGTCAAAGGTAGGTAATGTAAAATATAGGTACTATAATGGATCTTTTATATGATGTCTTGTTTATTGATTGATAATTCTTAAAAATATCAACTTATACCTCGGGTTGTTTTGATTTACATATTAATTTATTATTAATAATTATGTAATGTAATAACAAATGTACCGCTTATACTCGGCTCGGCCACAGCCGGCCGCGCTTGTTGTTGTTTTGTTTGTTGGTAGGTACCTACGTTCTTAAATTCGTAATTATGATTTTGAATAGATTATTTAGCAATTTGATAATTGAATTTGGTTCATCAAATTTATGATTTATTATTAGTATAATAAATAGATGCTTCATTATTTGTAAGTTTTGTTGGCTTATTCGATAGCTGATGTAGTACTTTACAAAAAATACGCGAGATGTCAGTGTATGTAATTTGGCGAAAGAATAAACCACAATATTCTTGAACGCACTTTTCAACAAAATGTATTCTATACATGTACCTGTCTTGTAGGAGTATGATTGTATGACCGGGGGGAGGGCTTTAATCATACGATATTTAGTTGCCTACCCTGTCTCGAAAATCTGTGCACGCCACTGTTGGCCAGTACCCAAATGGTGAAGCAGATCGAACGCCCACAAACCCAAAACATCACTGTAAGTACTGAGTCATAATATAAAACTTTGACTCTACTTTTTCTTTTTTTTTTCATGATAACTGTGACGTGTAATTAATAAAATGTGTAACTAATGAATTAAAGCTTGACTGACCTGCATCCTAAGTTTAGCGAGCAGTAACTTGTGTAGTTCATACTCTAGAAAGGGCAGTTGGTCGGAGATGTCCCTGGCACCCGGCTCTGATGTAGGCGGCGCTCTTCTCACTCGAGCCGCTATATAGGAACAAATAAAATTGTGTAGTTTGATGTAAGATATATTATTTTCATTTTTTTTCTTTCTTTTAAAAAAAAAGTTGCCCCACACTAGGATTTTCTCCTGTGTAGTGGGTGCGTTTACAAACATACAAATTCACATACACATGGCACCCAGACCCGGAACAACAATTTGTAGATCACACAAAGTGTTCTTCCGTGCGGGAATCGAACCCGCGACACGTTGTACGGCAGCCGGTCGCCCAGCCACCGCACCAACCGTGCAGTCATCATATTAGTTCTACAGATTTGGTAGCTCGTGGTCAATATACATTTTGACAAGTCATAATTAATTGATAATCTCAATGACATATATGTATATAGTAGGTATATATAAAATATACAAATACTACAAGTAGTTTATTCCAGTTTCGCACCACTTTCCCAATAGTATAGTGCACAGCACATAAACGAACAGGGTCCTTAGACAAAGTAACATCGCTTAATAGCGAAACGAAAAGTAAATTCGCCATCGTCTCTGAGATAACGATAAACATTTCCTAGCCAATGTAACACTATGGTCGTGATCGTTGAGTCGAATTCTTTATTCGGCAAAAAACAAAAAGATTGGTTATGGTATCGAAAATCTAGCTGTCAGTGACAGTCAGAAAGTTCAAATCGGATCAAACTCGCGAGATATTGATGTTTTAAAACTTTATTAATAAGAAAGTGAGTGTTGCGTTTAATTGTTTTTAAGTTAAATATAAACGGTAATTTTACAGTCGTAAGTGAATAGACTGTTATTACTTTTAGATCGTTTCCAAAACTTAATGATAATCAAAATAGACTCATTTTATAAGTGACTGGTGTTCAAACGATGATGGATCTCTCTCTATTTCTTATCTATTTTAATATTTAATGATAAAACATGGAATCAAGAGTGCGAGCAAGTCCTGAACAATTCGCAACGCTGCTCGAGTATATGGAAACGTAAGTAAATCTAAGTTTCATTCATGAGTATGTAATGTAAACAATGACGCGATCTTAACAATGAAGTACCTATATTGAACCGTCGCTGTCTTAACTATTTTTGGCGTCTCTCCCAGTCGGTCTCATTGTGTCCAGCCCACAATAAACGCAGAGAATGCATTTTTAAATCTATTTGATCTGTATTAGTGTATTGCCTCTAACACAAAATAAATAATAACAGAATCAATAATGAAATTCGGCCATATTGTTTCAATAACTACAACCTTTTAGCATTCGTTTCGTTATCGTTTTTGGCGATCACGATCGAGGCGTTGGCGAACACTGAAAGGTCTGCTTGTCTAGAAAGAAGAAAGAAGAAGAAAGAAAGAAAAATCATTTATTCGGCAATTACACGCACAGAAAACAAAGAATATAAAAAAATAAAAATACATCTACAGAATACATACAATACATACAGAATTTTGAATAAACAATAAAAAAAAAATCTAATAAACAAAATAATAATATTAATTTTAATTTGCGCGTGCTAATGCCAAAAGGGCCTCCACCTCAGCATAAAGTTGGACGTTTGTGCCCAACGCTGGTTTTCAGGTGGCACCCTGCAGTGACTCACGGACGGCGGTGCCGCCCCTCAATGAAGACAAAAAATAAACATGCAGTTGTATAAATAATATAAACGCATTTATATGGAATAAACACGATAACGATTCGTTACTTTATAGTTTCGTTATGAAATATAACATTGTCTACCAAATTGCGATAACGATGCCGATTGACCACGTGACTTAACGCGGCCTATGTCAATCCCATACATTTTAGTCTTAACTAACTTCGTTATCGTTTTTAAATTGTTACTTTGTCTAAGCCCCCAGCCTATAAATGACTGCTGAGCAAAGCCTCTTCTCATACGGAGAAGGTTTGAGCATTAATCACTGTGCTTGCTCAATGCGAGTTGGCGATTTCAAAATTATAATTAAAAAATTAAGACGTCTCAAAACCTTAGGGACACCACGACAGTATAGTGTACAGAAGTTTTCCTATATTCCTACTCGTATCATATCCATCTCCTAGTTACATTTTTAAAAATATACAATTTTACGGAGAACTTAGATCAAAAACAAGGATTTTTTTCAATTTTTTAACTTTAGGATGAGCGTTTGTTAATGAGAAATAATATTTCGTGTAACTTACCGACGGCAGTGAGTGTGACGGCTTTGGCGTGTGACGCCAACTTGTTGGGCTTCGAACATGTCGCGAGCAATACTGTAGGCACGCGGGCTCGTCTGGGGAATACATGTCATACTTTTAGTGAAACTGTCATAATTATTAACATTTTCAACATTGTTGAACTTGATTGAAATGTGCACGCGGCGGGATTGACGAGTTTTAACTCGTCGAGTACCGTATTTATAGACACAATTAAAGAACAATAGGTTGCGGTCACCGGTGACCGCTTGGTGTTTGACAGTTTAAACTTAATGTTTTTTTACAAAACATAACATTGATTTTAACTATAAATAATAGAATAGATTGTAGCGCAAGGGAAGGTTGACGGCTTAAGAGCGAGTGCAGGTCACCTATGCGACGGATTGTGAATCTTGCCATCACGCCTACATGAAGATCACGACCGACTTGCTAAGAGTGTAATGAATAGAAAGTAACCTTTGGAGTTTCTTGCTCGTTCTTCTCCATAGGAATCTACACCTTGGAATGAACAAATATCTTCACATTAAATTTTTTTTTGTTGACGTTCAAAAGTGCCTTTCTGGTCTAATTGAAATAAATGATTTTGACTTTGACTTTGAAAAGATATGAAATAAAGCCTACTCTATACTTATTTAATTATTTTTATATTTGATGGGCCGACGTTTGACCACTATCTCGCCTGGTGGTAAGCGACGATGCGGCCTACGATGGTCACCAGACGGTGCTAATGTAGCACGAGGTCCTGTGTTTCCAAACGGAATAAGCTGTATGATAAAAAAAAAACAGTAGTATTCATAATATGTTACTGACCGACATCCCCCGCAGACGGCGAGCTCGGCGCGGTAGGGCCCGGCGCCCGGCGAGTACGGCACGTGAGACATACTGCACGACTCACTGTCGGACTCCTCGCCGTGCTTCGAAACCGACGATGCTGGGGCTGAGGTAATTAACATATTGCATTTATTAATTAAAAGTTAGTTAGTTGACAAAGCATATTACAATGTTGAAGTTTTTCTAATAGACAATGGAATAAAATAATATTTTAAATACTAAATATCTTGGACATTTCATCTATTTTACTATGACATTTCTTAACTATAATCTTTTGACATTGTACCTATATTTTGTTAATGTGACTATTTTAAGTTCTGTAATCAATTTAATATTTACATAGCATAATATTGATTTTATTATATATATATATATTTTTTTAATAATTTGTTAATTCATATTTGAATGCCTCCTGGTAAAATATGGTTGAGCTCGCAATGTACCTAAACACCACATATTGTATCACCCATATTTGCAAATAAACTATCTTTATCTTTAAAAGAAAAATTCCATCCCCTCGCACTCCGGACTGGATGCTTCAAGCCCGATGAAGCTGGAGAAAGAAGCTGGGTTTGTATTTTGTAACTCTGTGATATCACACAACAGATCTTATTCCAAAGAAGAATAAAAGGAACCATGGAGTTTCTTGAACCTTATGAACTTATCTTGGTCTTTGGAACTAGAAAATAATTAGAAGACTACTAGACTCGACTTTAAAACGACTTTTGGTAAAATTAAGACAAATTTTACACTAAAAATCGCGGGTTACTCACGTGAATATACTGAGAAAAGCTCTACTAGTTTCGAACCACAGAGGGGTTCTTCCTCATGAGCAGTGTGCGCGGTCGCGGCGATGGCGAGTAGGCTACGCGACATCGCCGCATCGAATTAATTTAGTATGTCTCACGATAGTTATTATAAAAAATATTACACTACCTGAATTAGGTTCTGGCTCGGCATTGAAGTCGCAGTCTAAGTTGATCACTACCGCTGTACCGGACGCTGAGAGCACACACACGTCCTCGCTACAACAAAGGAAAAGTTATAATACGGTATTAGACAACTAGTTAAATTCAATACTTTTTTCGAACTGTCGAAAACGACAGTTGTCTATTGACCCGTCGAGCGTCCGCGTTCCTTATGATCCAACGGGTGCACCAGTGACATTTGGAGAAAGAAAGAAAGAAAGACAATGCATTTATTTGGCCATTGGCACACGGAAACAAGAATCCTTACAATAGAAATAAAAAAAATACAGTCAAAATAAAAACAAAACATTAATAATAGATTTTATTAAAGAGAAAGCAGCATGGAGCATTTTTCTTATGATCCACCGGGTGCTCATAAGGACGCTCGAGGGGTTAAGTCAAGAATTAAAATATCTTTTCAACATTGAGGCAGTCTTAGTAAGTAAGTATACAATACTTGTGTTGGGCCTGACGTTCTTCTATGATATTATTCAACTCACCAAATAGCAGTGTTCTCAGTGTACGCTATGACGGCGTTACAGCGCAGTGCCCGCGCATGCGCCCGCAGCTCAGTCCTGAGCTCGGCCCACCAGGCGGCGCGCGCCGCGCCCTCCCCGCCGTCCGCTAGCTTCACCGAACGAGCGCATACTGTACCACCTGTATAAAACAATTAAGCATGAATTATGAATTACAAACTAGCTTGAATTCCTGTATTATACCTTTTCTATGTCATACTAAATTAATAACTATTTTATTCACCAGTTGCCAAGGGCAAGTTGGGCATTGGTCTCGGGTTCGATTACCGGATTGGGTAAATTATTACTGGGTTTTAAAAAAATCTCAGTAGTAGCACGGAGTCTGGAATTGTGCCCGGTATATGACAATAGGATCACCCTCTAATACATGGGGATCATAACATAAATGGTAAAAAGTGAGTGTTACATTGTACAGTGGTATTAAGTGCCGTAAGTGCACCTCTGTCTACTACTTCGGGGATAAAATGCGTGATATTATGTTTATGTCATTTAAGTTTTAAACTGATATTGATCACTACATTTTTATGACATCGCTTTATGGTAATCTGTGTACACCAGTGCATTGGATGGTCTTTTGACAGTAACGGAGATTCGATGAACCAAATTTGCTTCATTAGTCAACAATAAGAGTTTTTAAATGATAATAAAGCTTTCATTTAACTTTAGACAAAATAAGTTATAGTAAAATACTCATTAAACAATAAATAGTTTTTTTATAGCATAAGCCGGTAAACGAGCAGTCGGATCACCTGATGGTAAGCAATCGGCGTCGCCCATGGACACCTGGAACACCAGATGCATTACAAGTGCGTTACCGGCCTTTTGGGGATTAGGAGTTTGAAGATCGTTGGGGATTCAGGAATTGGGGAGATTGGGGAAGGGGAGGGTAATTGGGCCTCCGGTAACCTCACTCACACGACGAAACACAACGCAAGCGTTGCTTGACGCCTGTTGTCTGTGAGACCGTGGTATCACTCCGGTCGAGCCGGCCCATTCGTGCCGAAGCATGGCTGTATACAGAAAAATACTTACCAATATGCACAATAAATCCCGGCGGATACTCTGTCATGGTAAGGAACGGATATTCCAGCATGTCCAGGTTGTTGCTGTTCATAGACGGCCGCAAGATGGCGCCACCACCGCTACCTACGTTACCCGCCGATGTGTTTAGTGATCCACCTAGAATTTAATAGAGTTTTAGACTAGGTAAAAAACCAGGTGATTAAACATTACTCATTGCCATTCGTTGCGTTATTTAATTCTGAATTTTGTACTGAAAGCTGAGTTTGACTTTGACCATGTTATGCCATTCTTCAAAATCGAATATTTGATGGGAGTCCATCAAGTCATCATCATCATCATTATCAATCACATTACTTAATACTAATTAATACATCACAGACTGCCTCGTTGGCCGAGTGGTCGCAAGTGCGACTGCTGGGCAAGGGGTCTCGGGTTCGATAGGGGTCTCGGGGAGCCGGGTCGGGCAAAGTATTACTGGGTTTTTAAACAATTCTCAGTAGTGGCACGGAGTCTGGAATTGTGCCTGGTATATGGTAATAGGCTCATCCTATATTACATGGGACTCATAACATAAATAGTGAAAAGTAGGTTTTACATTGTACTGTGGCATAATGTGCAAATCTGCCTACCACTTCGGGGATAAAAGGCGTGATATTATGTATGAATGTAATTCATCACATGAATATTATTATATTTGACTGCACGGTTGGCGCGGTGGCTGCGCAACTGGCTACCGCGCAACGTGTAGCGAGTTCGAATCCCACTCGGAACAAATCTTTCTGTGATCCACAAATTATATTGTTTCGGGTCTGGGTGTCATGTGTATGTGATATTGTATGTTTGTAAACGCACCCACATCACAGGAGAAAATACTAGTGTGGGGCAATGTTTAAAAAAAAGTTCATGAGATTGGGTGTCCGTTGGTGAATCTGATCAATCAGATCATGATCTGAATGATACAATGATGAAGTTACATAATATAATCGTTTAGATTTCCATAGATTTGATGCTAGCTGCAAATCTGAACAAGGAAATATAGTTTAAAAATCCTTACCTTTAGGCGTTACACTAAGATCAGAATCGGACGACCTCCTGTGAATCCCAAGTGGCGTCGACGTGGCGTTCAAGGAAGAGTTCTGCGCATGCGCCGCCTGAGCCGGCTCCCTCCCCCCGTACGACTCATGACGAGCATGGCGCGGCGATCCTCTGTCCTTGTCGCTCTTATCGTCGCGCCTATCCCTGTCTCGTTCACTCCTGTTGATATCGCACACGGCATGCGAGTTATCACACACACTATTGTTAGTCTCGTCTACTTGGTCTATTTGGTCTATTTGTTCTACTTCGTCTATGCTGGTCTCTGGTAACGAAGGTATGGTTTCTAGTGCACCAAGTTGTGGGTGAGACACTATCACAGGCTTGGTTACGTCGCTAGGTGAAATGTTAGCTTGTTTGGACATTTTAGGCGTTTCGGTCTCTGTTATTGAGTCTACGCTATTTTGGCGAGTGAGTCTTTTATTTTTCTTTGCTTCGGGTACTGATTTGCTTTTTCTATGTTTAATTGTTTCGTTTTGTGCTGAAGATTTCTCAGTTTCAGAATCGATAACTTTCGGTTTTATCGCAGCGTCGATTTCAGATTTACTTTCGTTTATTTTTTCGTCTTCTTTCCTATTTTCAGATGTAACTGGTTCAGCAGGTATTAAAGCCTGAACTTATCTAAGAGAACTGTTTCGAAAGCTGTATGAATCAAGCCTGCAGGTTTCAAATTTTCACGAGAATGTGACTTCTCAAATATTTCTTTTAACTTTTCAACAGCTACTTCTTTCTCTTCAGCTAAAGTATGCACTTTGTCTAACAATATATTTTTTACAACATTCTTGACAAGAGAAGGTGATTTCAAATCATCGTTTAGGTGCTAGCATCTTCCAGATCATCATCAGAAAACGTTTTCAGTTCAACAAAGGTGATGCCAGGTTGACCAACTAAAGACTGGACTTTATCCATCAATATTGTTTCCATTGCAGTATGGGTAAGTCCACTAATTTCTTCCTTTTTATTTGTATCAATCGAAATACGATCCTGGTCTTCCTCTGATGGAACTACCGGTACTGGCGCTCCTAGTGCAGAAGCCTGCACTCTATCTAGAAGCATAGTTTCAACTGCTGTATGCACAAGACCAGTAGGCCTTAAATCATCTTTGCTGGATTTTTTAAACTTATCTGAATCTGTGTCAGTTTTATGTAGCGGGACAGCGAAAGCCACACCGGGCTGTCCAACCAATGTTTGAACTTTATCCATTAGTATAGTACCTACAGCAGTGTGAGTTAGGCCAGATGAACTTTCATTCCTATCCGACTCGTGAAGTTTATCATTAGAAGTTATTACAGGATCTGGTACTGTTCCACCAAGGGCTGATGCCTGAACTCTTTCCAATAGCATCGTTTCCACTGCAGTTTGAACTAATCCATGTGGTTTTTCCTCTCTCTTTTTAAAATCGTCAGGCCTCTGTGCTCTATCGTAATCATCAAATACAGATGAAACTGGTTCAGGAGTTTCCGGGCCAAGAACTGATTGGACTTTTTCCATCAACATAGTTTCCATTGCCGTGTGAACCAGTCCAGTTGACATGGATTCCCTCTTTTTAGGCTTACTGTCAAAGAATTTTTCAGTTGGTGAAGTATGGTCTGGAGATTTCGGACTAAGCAAAGACTGGATGTAAGCTATAGGTTTTTTAACTTTCATTTTGGATCCTTCTCCAGTTTCTGAACGGTCATTACCTTCAAACACTATTTCTGGGTGAGGAGTATCTGGAGTAGAAGGCATAAGGACAGACTGAACTCTATCCATAAGCATAGTTTCCATCGCAGTTTGTACTAAGCTTGGTGGTTTGTTTTTATGTTCGTGTCCTTTGTCAACCTTCCTAATACCACTGACAACTACTGGTTTGGTATTCACAGGTGGAGACTGACTCTTTGGTCTACTGGATGGTGCTATATTAATACTGCTGCCGACTGAAGAACTGTTATTATTTCTATATTCTTCAACTTTACCTAACTTCTCGTTAACATCATCGAAAAACTGTTTGTTCTTAACAGATTCTGAATCAGGAGAAGTAGGTAGAAGTAACGACTGCACTTTATCTAGCAGAATAGTTTCCATAGCAGTATGGACCAAACCTGTAGACTTCAGAGAGTGTTTCTTTTCAGTGTGATGATGAGGTTCCTCTTTGTGGTAAAGAGACGAAATACCACTGAGAGAGGACCTTGAAACAGGCTCCGATCCAATATACATGGATACTTTTACGTGATCAAATTCATCGCTTTTGTGGAAGAATTTGTGCGTATCAATACTGTCCTTGTCGAGACTCATCAAATCGCTATAAGACAAGAATGGAGAACCCAGGACAGTCTCACTAGGAGCTTTGAACGAACATCGGAAGACGACCCAGGCTGGCTCAAAGGAGTTTTATTCTCCTTCTTTTTCGGATGCAAAGAATAGTGAGAAATACTTTTAATCATATTGCTTTTAGACAACTTAGACAATTGACGTCGTATGCGTCGGGAAGAACGATGGACGAAGCTACCTTTATCTACTGGAGATGACGGCTCGCTAATGCTTTTAGCAGGCTTTTTGTGAGAGAAGGGATTGTGGAATTTAATGTGATGGGTAGTGGGTTTTGCTACACACGTGTCGTCTTTCACCGATGACGTCGAAGCTTCGTTTGATCTCACTGGTTTGTCGACAACTATCTTACTTTCGACTTCTCGAGGCACTGACTCCAGTGATTTACATTTGTCAATAAGCACTTGATTATCGAATACTTGTTGTTCTACTTCTGTTTTCTTATCAATTTCCTTTTTCGTTTGTACTGGTTTAGTTTCAATAGGATCAGGCTACCTTCAAGGATGTTTAACTTTTTATCCATGCTAGCAATCACTTTTGGATCAATGTCATGGCTTAGAACTGATTGCACTATGGAGCTGGTAGTTTCAATAGACCTTTCGGTATCTGTTTTCAAGTCAGAACTTTCATCGTCGTCTTCTTCATCGCTACTGGACTCCAGCTCGGAGCTTTCAGCTGATAGTGCAGAGGAAACTGATCCAAAGTAGCCAGGATCTCCAGGCAATGTTAGGAGATTTTCGTTTCTCTCTGGCATTGGGGTAGCTGGACAAGACTCGATATCTTTCGCTCCCTCGGCGGCACTACTTGATCAGAATTAATATTACTCAAAGAAGTGAATCTTATTTCTGGCATGTTTTTCGGTTCTTCTGTGGGGCCATCGATTTCTTTCGCCTTGACTTTCTCATCATCGGATATGTTAAGGGCAGGTTCAGATTCACTCGTTCGTCTTAAGGTGGATCCTGGAGAGGCTTCCGAGTCTTGTGTCTCAGCAATGCAGGCGAGACCTGTTTGAACATGAATGATCGATCTAGCCAGGATTGAAGCCATACCTTCGCCCTCATCCTCTTTATTAACGAATGGTTTACGGAATTTCGGTTTCTTCAAGCTTAATTTCCTCAATTCATGTTTTATATCGCCTAGAGAGATTCGTGAGGAATCAGACGCGTTAGATCTTAAGATATTGTGTCTTCCTGTTTGTCTGATGAAGATGATTTGTTAGCAGATCGACGACTGAATCTTTTAGTGAAAAAGTTAGTTTTGATCTTCTTCAGTTTCTCGATTGGTCCTGAAGAGTCGGAATCGTCACTTTCTCTGTTGAGAAGTTTGTTCAGATCTGTCTGGTCTTCTGATAGGTGTCTGAGGCTGCTTCTGTGCGGATATTCATCCCTGTATATGGAGACGCTTCCAGCGTAGCTGTTAATGCTGGGATGCCTTGTCATGTCCATACTTTCGTCTTCTTCAAGAGCATCCGTTTCATCTAGTAAAGCTGATGCATTAGGATTTAAGATCGAGAGAGTTTCTGCAGCTCTCCTGATGCGTCTGGTAGTAAGCAGACATCTCCGTAATACTTTCATTATCAGTCGCCAAAATGTCCAAATACTTTTTTAATTGTCTGTTTTAAGTTAGCGGACACAACAAACCATGCAAAAATATAACTATAAGTAAATTGTTTAAAAAAAACTCTGGTTTAAACTAAGTTACTGTTTTGTCAACATTTATTACGAACATTTAAAGCTTTTTAGTTTTAAATAGACTAGTCTAGATTACAGTAACCTTGGCAACTATACTTAAGAAATCAATAGACTTATAAAGCCTTGGGACAAGAAAATAAATTTTAAATTGAAGGGGGTTGTTTTATCTTCGTATTTGGAATTTTATTGCATTGTAGATAGAGTTGAATATTGTGTGTACTCACTGTTGCGTGCAAGGTGGCATGTTTAACGTTTGACTTGGCATGGGTAGAGGAGTTATACTGACGGCGGTACCTGCAATCGATAGGAGATTAAATTTGAATGACGTTAATTTGTTTTTACCGGTAAACACGTCAAAATTGTTGCCCTACAAATGATCTTTATCGTTCAAAAAAGGCAATATTGCGTCATGGTATGAAGTATGCATATGACAGAACTATGACTAGATAACTAATATGTAGTCTTGAGGGACTGAATTTGAATTTGAGGATCGAACCTTATTCCTAGGCCATGTATTACAAGGCTGGGAAATATGTGTACACTTCTGTTTAACAAAGTTGGTTAATGTTTAACGTACCGATAGCTCTAGCCACAACTCCTGCTTCCCCTTCCAGATCGAAGTCCTGTTGGTAACCAACCACAGCGTTGGCCCCCAGCTCAGCTGCTTTCAGACCTACTAAACGCTGGACCTGACGACAAACATTAACATTAAAATATATTTACCCTTCGATGGTACAGAAGTACGCCATGGTTTTGTTCACATTGTTTCACTCTGCATACTTATTTGTCAAAAAAGCTACTTTATTTGTTCAGACGTTCTATTTATCACGTTAAGTCACAGTTTGAAATTCATATTTTATGACTGACGGTTGACTAAAGCCGCTGATGATGTCGTGATTTTGAACCCTGGCTGCGACCCGAAATTAATCGAGCAGCCCCGAACAATTACGTGACTAAGCTGCATATTGAAATTTATTTAAAATGTCTCATTTCATATTTTTTTTACTTATTACAGCATTGACACCATTAGATTAGGTTTTAGACACGCATTTATTATAATTTATTTAAATATAAACATACCTGGTTACTAAGTTTGATGAAGGCCACCTGTCGCGCTTCGTTGGATGCTCTAGGGGTTCTGATCTTGTCAATCCACTGGTATTCAGGGTCGTCGTTTACCACCAGCTCTTCAACAAATCCATGGATAGAAGTTGCTCTGTAGCCTGGAGGTATCATTGGACCTGGAGAGAGTAAGTCAAGTTAACGTCGGCAGGAGTTATGTTTTAATTAATATTATTCATAGGTATATCTAAATGCTGTCGATGTTTATATTAAAACTTTCGTGAGACATACTTAATTAATTATTATGTTACGGCTTACTCACGTAACTTTCGACGAAGATCTGACTAGTTTCAAGCCATGCTAGAGGCTCATATTCATGACAGCATTCCACGACAGTGGCCCGGCCCCTTCTCAAACAGTTACGTGAGTAGTCGAAAACACAATAACTAATGTCAATATTAAGATTTTTTAGGAATCTTGAGATCGCCCGCCCCGATGACGAGTAATGAAGAGTACCTATAGGAATCTGAACTATCGAATTAAACTCTTTGGAATCGATATTTTCGATTCCACAGAGTTTGTATTCAGTAAAAAACATATTACATAACTGTAAAATACATGAATGAATATGTAACTTCTGCCATAAACACATGCCACTTTCAAAATATAAGACAAATACATACAATGAAAGAATTGCACTCCACAGCTGGAAGTTTTGTACTTGTTGAAGTCTGAGAACAGCTCCACTTTCACGATGACGTTCAATTCGCCTCTGATGCCGTGCATCGTGTCGAAGACAGGGATCCAACCGGACATCACTGCACCTGTGGGTTAGAGGAACAAAGCGTTTTTTTTTTATTATAAGTATTTGCTTGAAGGTGTCATGGTGGCCCGGAGGTTTAAGACGCCCGTTTCTCAAGCATGAGGGTGCGGATCGAAACCTACCAACGGCAAGTACCAATGTGACTTTTTCCGAGTTATATGTACTTTCTAAGATTATTCAGACACCACTGACAAACGGTGAAGGAAAACATTGTGAGGAAACCTGGGCTTATAATTTCTAATTATAAGTTTGTAATCGCCAACCCGCATTGAGCAAGCGTGGTGATTAATGCTCAAACCTTCTCCGTGTGAGAAGAGGCTTTGCTCAGCAGTGGGCATTTATAGGATGTTGATGATGATTTGCTTTAACACGTTAAACGCCATGGGGGTCACCGGTGACCCCCATGACGTTAGCCCGGGAATTTCCTTCAACTCTTTTCTATTGGCAGTCAAAGCTTTAATATTAAACATCGTTTTACATGACAGTGATTCGTGTTGTATCTTACTCCTTTTTGATTGGGAACTCTTATGATTTTCAAAGTCTAATGATCTCATAAATAAAAGTTAAGCGATTTCTTATCATCAGTCGGGATGTTAGCTTATTTTCTCAGTAAATGGACTATGCAACATAGATAATTATTCAATTCGCCGCGTTCAAACAAACAAGTAAGTTTATCTACAGGTATTTCGAGATCATAGTAACAGAAAGATTTTGCGTCTTTGTGCAACTTTTGGAGCAGTCATAAAATATCTTGAATTTAGTTATTCTAATATTTACTTTTAGAATTTTAGATAAAGAAGAATTAATCGTTTTTGGCAATGTTTGCATCATATGTTACGTTTTAGCTTAGTTTGTGATTACTATCATGCGAACCAACAAGAGCCAAACGTTCTTTTACTATAATGACCTAAAATTTATAAAAATACAAACTAGTCGCGAGCAATTTTTACCCGCTCATAGCGTGCTGTTTTATAGTCAAAAAGAAAAACAAAGGCAAGGAAACCAGAACCAGGAAAATCGAGCAAAAGCAGACTAGTTAATGCTTTTGTTATTTTACTAAGATTTCAAATATTATTTACCCCCATGAGGTGTAGCAGTACTCTTGGCGTTGTTGGCTTCCCTCGCCAGCAGTGGAGCAAGGCTGATCACTACTTTTCCGATAGCATCGTTCGCGGAGTACGTGTCATGGTCCATCAGTCGAAGCTGGAGGGGTTCATCTTGAAGCTCTGATTCGTCTACCTGGAGAAATAATTAAGAGTTTAGTCCGTTATAAGTTTACAGTACCGAACACTAACAAATAACTGTAGTGGGGACTAGACCCAAAACTTCCTTATGCATGGTGAATACCTTTAAAATACCTTTCAGTATTTACTCGATCTCGACTTCCGTGCAGTCTCGTACGATCTGCTCGGCGCCTATTAATCGTAACGTGATGTTATTTAGCATATAGCCTTCCTAGAGAAATGGACTATCCAATACAAAAAGTTTTATTCAAATCGGACCAGCAGTTCCTGAGATTCATTCAATGACACAGTCACTTACTATGACTAAGTGTCAGGGAAGGAATGTTGATTCTGTAAAAGCCTACTTACTAGTATTATAACTTTCGTGAGACATACTAAATAAATGATTATGTTTTCGGCTTACTCACGTAATTGCTACAGTAGCAGCACGACAGTCGCCGCGTCGCATTTCGCGAATGCTGCTCATGAATATGAGCCTCTAGTATGGCTTGAAACTAGTCGAGTTCCTTGTCAAACAGTTACGTGATTAAGCCGAAAACGCAACAATTTATTTAGCCTACTAACTAATTAGAGGAAACATATCATACACAGAAGATATAAAGAATCGATGTAACTAATTAATTAATACAAATCACAAGCTTTTAGACAGGCAATAAATTAACCTATTGATAGATTAATATTGAGAAGGAAGTGCAATCAGAAATCTTAAAGACGGACAATGTCTGTCATTGTAGTTAAAATACTTGCATCAACAGATATCATAGTTGCACACAAAATGCGCGGAACGTGTGATTATTCTGGCTTTATTGTTTAAGTGCAACGTGAATTTGTCAAGGTCATTTAGAAGATAATGAGGTAACTATCTATTTTATTGTTTTTACTAGTTATTGCTGGCCTTTTCCCAAGTGCATTGCCATTTGGAACCATATGAAATCGAAAACAGATGTAACTAACATGTTATGGTGTTTTTAGCGCCGTCGTAACTTTTCAATTAATAGTAGGTACCTAATTGCAACTCATTTATAACTACATTAACATTCAGAAGTTTATTGGTAGTTTTCAATTCATTATGAGAGCTATTCCGCCACGATAAATACCAGTTGTAGTTTATTTGCATGTCTTTCTAAAGTTGTTGGACCAATTTACGGCGTAAGCTAGAGAAACTGCGTAGCAAAACAGTTAGACTATTATTATAAAAAACAAACAGTGCTGTACGCACATAGGTACTTGAATTATCCAAAAATATCCGAACATACGATAATCTTCCATTCTTCAGGCAATATTTCCTTCATCACAGCTTACATCTCCAAACAAAAACATATTGAAATGATCGCAGCTTCCGGATAATATACGCATCAGACGGTTACGTGTGCGAAAACATATTGCGAATTCGCAAATGTGTTGAAAAACAAACGGTGTTTAGTGCGAGTAGAGGACACTGCTCTAAAAATACACGTCGGCTTGTAAATATTTCGGAAAGCGACAATATAAGACAACATAGAGAATTGTAAAGGAACAACAAATCTCCTATTTGTCCATAAGATTACGGCAGCAGATATTATTATTTATAGAATTTTGGACAATGGTTTCTGTTAGGTTTTATAAGACGAACTAGGTAACTAGTTCTATCTGAGTGCGATTTTCAAAATCTTCGTCATCAACAGCCAGTGACCAGTGCTGAGCCTCCACACAATTAATTTTATGTTGGAGATCGCAGTAAGATATGTATATACGAGATTTTTATTCTCGATCAGTTTTTTACGAGCAGAAAATTCAAAAGGCGCCTAGTTTTTGAATAGAAAAACTATTTCATCACTACGAAATGAATGGTTGACAAGTTTTATCTTCCAAGGTGCCTAAGTATCAGTCCCTATATTCAGATGATATTAAGCGAGCTAAAGTTTCAATAAAGTAGGTACGAAGTCAAGTCATTTTACAAGAAGCCTCCTACAACTAATAAAAAGAGATTGAGCCACCATAACCATTAATCATACACTCTAAATCACCGCAAAATGAAGACTGCGCAAAAAAGCTATCTAATAAAACTTTATTTGGCGTCCATCCAAATCAATATTGAATCATTGGATACACACATTGTGGAAATGCACAAACAAATGGGCAAGCAGACGACCGCCAGACGTGGACGCGATAATACTGGCAACGGCACATGGCATAAATGACGGTGTGACGTCACTGTCAACGACGCCAAATATTCTGGCACGTTTCGGAGATTATGAAAATCGTGAGGCTAGTATGTGAAATATGAAAGTTCTTTATCTATTCCAACTTTTCAGTGCAAGGTCTGCTATTTTGAAGACGAATTTTTTTATTGTTTCTTTCACACGAGATTAGATCACCAATGTCATAGCGAAGAATAGGGCCAACTACAAAAGAGACTGTTTCAAAACCTCTGCTCTAAACAGTGCTGCCTGCTAAAGTGCAACAATTCATAGTTATGTTTCATTGTAGATATCAACAGAACACTTACAAATATTTTGGTACCTATGAAAACCTGCTCTTCCACTTTCAAAAAATTATCGATTTCGATCAAAGATTTAGAGAACTCCGAAAAAACTCCGCATTTCACACAGTTACGTTTACAGTTTTCGCACCAGAGTTACGAGTTTCTCACAGAAGAAACTAACTAATCATTCTGGGTATAAACTGGTCGGAATCTCAGGAGCTTTATTGTGACATGCATTTCTAAACAAAGCTTTACATAATGATATAACGCAATAAATGACCAGCATTCCAATCATTTGAGGCGGGCCAAAGATTCATTCGAAGCAAGAGCAACAAGTGTATTGTGGAGACGGTAGAATAGAATATGTCACCACTTCTATTCGTCCTGTGGGTACCGTAGGAGCCAACTCAGAGAGCGGGCAACCACATTCTAAACCTGAATATTTTAGACTCGACAATCCTCCTATGTAAAGAAAGGTCATAATCTGTGACAGCAGTAAAGTATCACTGGCTGGCAGACAAGAAATGAAGACCAACAAATAAAGAAACTAATAATTAACTATCCCTTTTATAATCTTTCTCACACGTGCATTCAATTTTCTATTCTTAGTCCAACACAGGATAGACATATCAGCTGTTTCGGTAGATAGATAAGTACATATTGTACATGTTCTACATTGTGTAATGAGTGTAACTGATTATAATGTTGTCCCAAGGTCATCGTTGACGCCTCTTCGGTCAATTAATATTTATGGTTCTTTGTACGCCAGCTCATTAGCTCCGGTTACTTTTGTTGCTGTTAAATCGTTCAGCTAAGCATTAGTCTCATGTTTAAGTAACTGTACAAAGATTGGTTGAATTACAGCTGGCTATCATATTGCTTGTTTTCTCTGATCTGTTCTTGAAGAGATTGGTAGTCGGCATTAAGAAAATTCAGCCAGATGTCGAGTTTTATGGGGTTCCCTGTCTGTTCTTAGCAAAATTTAATAACACTGATAAAGTTCGTAGGATGTTTTACGCTAAACAAGTAAACATGTCGTAAAATTTTCAGATTAACTATCTTTTCCATTCCGTGACATTAATAACTATAAGGGGCCAGTTATTTCAGAGAGCCACTGAAACTCTCGATCAGTCCAATTGATCACAGTTAGGACGCATTACATTTAATGGTTTGGTTTGTCGAAACTGGTATTGTAACCAGTCTAAAGGAGTTTTACTATGAGGGATTCAATCATCCAGTCAAAGAAGCGCACGAAACTGAAACTGTCTGTCTATCGTCTGTCTTCCGCATGATGTCGACACATGAGACATCTACATTTAAATCATTTATCTACTTACCTTGACAAAACGCGCTTTGTAATATTTAAATCGAGATATTAATTTATGTGCTAATTAAAGTGTTACGTAAACAACTTTAATCATGTTACGCAATCTTAGTACATTCGGCATTACATTTTTATTGGTACAATTTAACGTTTTATTTGCATAGTAAAAGTCGGTATTGACTTAAACCTTTTAACTGATACTCAGTGTAAGACATATTTTACATTGGTTTACGTGATTAGTTACGAAGATTTAGGGGCAAACATAAAAAGTTGGGAGTGACTAGATTGTAAGCAAATCGTGCGGTTTTTATTGTTTGTAGTCTGCAGTGCGACATATAGGCTAGTGTTTTACAATTTGTGTATTTTAGTAACTAAGAATTATGTTTCGCCTGCGACTTCGCCCGCGTGGGTTTTGAATCATGATCATCAAATGATTCATTTCATACCATGTGTGATAAGTTTCACTTTCATTATTCGCCTAGGGGCAGTAATGTAGTATTCCATGGAAAGCAAAATATTGAGAAGTTGGAAATAAATATCGACGCCGATTACTTACCATCAGATGATCCGTATGGCCGTTTATAGGCTTATCCCACAAGAAAAATAAAAATAGAACACTTTGAATTGCTTATAACTAATATGTATCTACATAGCAAAATATAGGACCACTATTTAGGACGATAGATCTCAGTTCTCGAATACACTCCTAGTTAATGAAGAATCAAGAATATTACGCCAAATATTGCTATAAATTTTTAAATTTGGGGCGGGTAAAAGCATCTTATAACTAATTTAAAAGTTCAAAATGTTATTTGTAACTGTAACTATTTAAGAAAAAATCGTGGCGCCACACTAGTCAGAATTTCCTCTTGTATCACTATACAGGAGAAAATATATTAAACTAATTTATAAAGTTCTCCAACCCACTGGTTATAGTATATTAGTTATAGTTAATGCGTATCACCCAGACCCGAAACAACAATTTGTGGATGACACAAAGAGTTGCTCCGTCGAGGAATCGAACCCGTTACATATTGTTTGTTGTTGTTTTTATTTGTTACGGTGCAAATAAACAAAATTTCTTTCTCTCTAATTGTCTTTCTACAAATAAACACACATACATAATGCTACTTTACACTAGTTATATGAAACTTTACTTTGTTAAGCTTATCAGGTATTTCTTATCTAACACCACTTAGGTAACAACTAATATGACCTATATTAATTCACTATCTACTAATCGAAAGTATCAGCTGTGTAATATATGTAGCTATCATCAACTTTCATTTTTATGACTTTTATCTGCAATAGCAAAATTATTAATACCTACAGCATAAGGGCTCGTACACAAAACTAAGATGCGACGAGCTCCCTCTACGCAACACAAGAACTTGCAAATTGATTCGCATCGCGCATCAAAATCTTATGTTACCAAAATCTTCTTTGTTTCTTTTTCCTATATCTCCTAAGCAATAACAAAAGTGTAGGTACACTTCTTTTTACGATCCATGTCACGACCTAGTTTTCAATTTAAAATATTTAGTACGGTTGACAGTTGTCGAAGGAAATAAGGAATGGTCACCCTGGGAGACGCCTTGTCGCACGAAATCGCATCGCAGCAATTTGTGTCGTAATTTTCTGTGTTGCGAATTCGCATCGCATCGCAGTATTGTGTACGAGTCCTATCTTCATGCGGTTTAATCCTTAAAGAGGAAAACTGAGATGCATAATAGTTACATAGGTAAATAATTATTGTAGTTATAGACTGCGTTTATTAAAACCGACTTCAATGCCCCCTTTTTTGCGGTTGGTTTACAAATATACTAAAACCTTTTCCTAAGTGTAACAAACACTTTTCTGACACTCACAAACTCGCATCAAAATCAGTTGTACCAATTGCATGATAATTACATAGGTCAAAGTGAGAACCTTCTATTTTTTAAGTCAGGTAAATATGTAGTATTTATAATGCCTACCTACTTATCACCAGTTGCAACTCAAGTCTTATGTAAAATGGTGTCAGACTATTGCCATAAACCATGCACAATTTCAGACTCTTATGTTATTATTAATGAAAATTTACGAACAACTGTAAATCCTCCACAAATACTATGTATATTAGACCCAAGATTCCTTGTTTGGCAGTCGCACTTGCAACTACTTGATTAAGAAAGAGGTTACTAATTAAAGGGAAGACATAGGCAGTCCAGTTTATATTAATTGATTATTATACGTAAGACTGCCTCGTTTGCTGAGTAGTTGCAAGTGCAACTGCCGGGCATAGGGTACCTGATTCGATTCCCGGGTCAATCAAATTATTACTGGGTTTAAAAAAATCTCAGTAGTTAGTAGCACGGAGTCTGGAATTGTACCCAGTATATGGTAATAGGCTCACCGCCTATTATATGGGACTCATAACACAAATAATGAAAAGTGGGAGTTACATTGAACAGTGGCATTAAGTACCCTAATGTGCACCTAGCCTTTCGGGGATAAATGCATGACTGTGAGTATGAGTAAATTTTTAGCAAAGTAAACTTTAAACTTATACATATAAAGTTAACTTTATACTAAATAATTTGCTATTGTTTTCTCAATGTGAGATAGAACAATATACTATTCTCAATTTTAAATATTAACCTTTATCTTGACATTGCATTGTTTTGATGTTGATGAAGAAACATAAAAATTTTACTATCGCTACCTATATTTATAAATAACTTTTGATTGATAATGGACGATCATTAAAATTCAAAACATGGTTTGGTAAATTGTTCAATCAGTTCAGTATAAACATGCAAAACAAAATTTGTAGGTAGGTACCTAAAATTAAAGTGAAGGTATTTGAATACTAGTGTGTGGTCAGTTAAACAATTTTATTTTATGTTGTAACCAAATAATATTTATGAGGACAAGAATAGACAGTTTAAAAGAAACATTACAAGCGTCATGAATTAAAACCACCTGTTTGTGTCAGTTCAACAGGGTAATATAAACACTGCCCACCACTGTGTTATTGTTATTAAAAAAATGTTAAACCTTCTTTGTTGGATAGGGCATAACTTTTGAGCATAACTTTTTTTAAGAAATGCTTTTTCTAAATTCAAAAACAGTAGGCCACTTACCTCAAACCTGTACCACTCTGTGCTGTTCCAGTGAGGGTTCAGGGACTTTCTACACACATCAGTCTTGTGTGTGATACTCCCAAATTTTATCTCAACGAACGCGTCCGTCGTATCACTAGCCCGGTCCATCACCGGGAGGTTCCGGCCTGCCAACACTTTCACCTTTATCTTCCCAGGCATTTTCGCTTATTTACACTCGCACTTAACACTTAAACAATAAGTCAATAATTCAATAGACCCACCACGACAGCATTGTACACTCTATTATCACGTCTTTCATACCAGATTATCACTTCTGAACCTTCCTAATCAGAACGAAAACACAACTTTATATCTTATCAATACATTGATTTGTACAGATCAATGATATGTGATACGGTTATTTCAAGCACACAGACACTAGCCAAACTTTGTCTAGATCACATTATCACAAGAAAATTCAGTTATTACAAAAGAAAACATCGTTTCGGTACGAATTAACACACGAAATATTCGCGCTCCGAATATCATTTAATTACGCGCTTGTGATATAAACACTGCACCTTGGAGCGCCCCTGCTGTATCTAAATGTTGTTCTAAAAGTATTCAGTTGGTTTATTAATAGACAAAATGTGATATTTTATAAATAAAATCGGCGAAACGAGCGACACGCACAATCACAAACTGTCAAACGTAATGTCAACAATAAGATTGCGTTTAGTTTAATCCTTGTAGTGGAACATCTTCATTAAAAAAAAATATTCTTGAATTACATTATAATAACAAGAAGTAGTTGTATACAAATTGTACTTTTATTTCAACGCCTTTGGTTGTATACGAAACGTTTTGGATAATTTCAACCAATTGTAAAAGAAGTTAGTTAAGCTAGCAGTCGTTTAATTATTTATTAATCGTGTTTTATTAACAACTTCGTGTTATAAGTAGGTTATAGTATTTGATTTGTCTTAATTTATTATGCCATAGATGGCCGTGTCAGTATAATCACGGTTTTATCTGAACAAAATCGAAAAGCTTTTGCTAACTCCTCATCTGGATAAAGCGTTGTTTGGTAAAGCAACAAAGCAATCCAATCTGGACATGATAATAAGTGATTGCTATACTATTGAACAGCCCATGGGCTTTGCTGCTACTGTAAGTAGATGTTTGTATAAAGAAACAACACATTCATTTGATACATTTTATTACATGATAATTGTTTGCAGTCTTATTTCCAAACTATACACATAAAATAATAATATAAGATCACATTCAGAATATACATAAATATATGATTCAAACACCACTGTTCACGGAACTAAAATTAAATGTTGGCAGGCATAAAGAAAAATGCAAGCTCTAGAATACATTTTTTTTTTTTCAGTAAAATGTTCACTAAAAATGTTGTATTGTATTTTACTTATAGGTATCATTTGACATCTGAGTATCAGAAGCTGGCAACACAAAATTCAAACATGGGTGTTGCTACATTATTTCCTGTAATATTTCTTGAATAGTTACACTTTAATGGAAAAGTAATTTAAAGTTGTTGTGTTTGATAATCCATACATAAAACATTTATATCATGCCCATATTAATACCCATACTTTAACATAACAATTTTTAAATAAACCCGCGTTTAGTTATAGCACTTTGAGCAATGTAGCTATACAAACAGCAAAGAATATTTATAAACATTTTGTTAGAACATGTCTCAATCAATCTTAATCCTACTTAAGGCAGTTTCATGCTTTACATTTAATGTATTTTTCAATTAGGACCTTCTTTCTTCACAACCTTCCTTCCACCCAAATATTTTCAACCCGTATCAAAAATAGTCCTATGCACCTATAACTATCAAATGCGTAAACTGCACTACAGTCTTTATTTTGTGTGTAAGAAGAGTCATTATTGTAGTGCATTTACCATTCACATGCATTTGGCTTAGGCTTTCATTCAATCACAATTCAACCATCATCATCATCTAACCTGTCAAATTTCTTCAATGGATTTTCGACCTTCTTACCAAATGATAAAGTTGGAAATCAAAATGGCATACTGAGCTAGGCCAATGCGCTAGTAATCTGTACCATATAAGAAACCTTCTGTCTGTATTTCTAAAGTTAGAAAATTTAACATAAACTTTAAGAATCTTATTAGACTGAATATCAATACTTTTTTTATTGCTTTTTTGCACAATATGACAAGAAACATATTACATAGCGCGTTTTAATATCATTATCTCTTTCTTTTATATGTATTTTATAAGTGAAAGAAAGAGACAACATTCACACTGGCGTTTCTCAATCTTTAGAAGAAGCAAGTACTACCATGTAGTTGGCACATATTAAATAACAACATTCCAACAAAAACAGTTTATCATATTGTGTCCAGAATAAATTAGTTTCTAAACATATAAACCTTGTCACTGTTCTATGCTTTAATATTATGATAAACAGCATTCCTAACTACTTTCAATGACCAACAGCTATTTAAGTCGGTGGGTAACTAATAAAATAGTGTGTAATTCTTATCTTATAAATGTAATTATGTATTTAAATATATCCTACCATTAATAGAGATAAAGCTGTTTACTTGGGCATGTCCAGTCCTTGAGGTTTTACCCACTATCATTAAAAAGGCTTCATAAATTCTAATACAAGGTCTGTCTTCCATCTATTTCATTTTTAAAGCTTTAATACTACTTTTAAATATTTAGATTCGTTTTTACACATAATAGTTGCAAAAGAGTATGTTTTCAACTTTATGAAACCACAGATTAAAAAAATTATATAGACTATACAATAGCTAAAATAAAATTATGAATGTAACTTAATAATCAAACATTTGGTGAGAACCCTTAATCATTGACATTATAATACCAATGAAAATAATACAATTAAATAACTACTTAACAAATGCGACAGTATTACCATAAATAATAAATAAACGCAACATTTTTGCAAATGGTAACATAGTAATAGTGATGTACTTACACTGGGTATTTCAAAGAGTTTCTATAGCGATCAACACTATTATTTTTTAATTTTTTTGAGCATTTTTTCGATATCCTGGCTACCAGTTGGATTGGGGCGTTTGAGTTTGTGTTTAGCGGACAATTTGGGGATACAGCTTTTGACTGGGGTCCTGTTAGGGACTGGGAATGTGTCTAGCTTTGAGTGGCCCCCTAAACCATCATAGGATATGTCCAAACTGCCACCAACTTTGTTGTCAAGGGATTCAATCTTCATCGGCTCCTTTTTATGAAAGATGCTGTGTTTTGAGCTGAGTGAATTTGATTTTTCTCCCAAGCGTTTCATTGTTGCGTTCTTTATGGAATTGAGGTAGAGGTTTTCTGATGGCTGGAAAGAAGAACGGAAATTAGTGAACCAATCACATAAAATAACATGACACCTTTTATCCCCGAAGGGGTAGGCAGAGGTGCACATTATGCCACTGTACAATGTAACACCCACTTTTCACTATTTATGTTATGAATTTCATGTCATAGGGGGTGAGCCTATTGCCATATACCGGGCACAAGTCCAGATTCCGTGCTACTACTGAGAATTTATAAAAAATTGGTTGCCTGTAAAGTCGGTATTCGGGCGAAAGTTACAACGACTTTGAGTGGTAAAATTCTCTCGCTCTTAGGCGGGCTAACTGTGCTCGAGTGGAAGGGATGCGTGCCTTTCACTTTTTATGTCTGTCTCTCTCGCTCTTAGGCGGGCTAACTATGCCCGAGTGGAAGGGACGCGTGCCTCTCACTCGCTCTCATTGTGAGCGCATAACGTGAGCGGAGCGTAACGCAGTTTCTTGAAGTGTCACCCGGCCCACCCCATTCATTTCAACAAGCTCTAAAGCGGATTAAACATTGCAACTTCACTACTAATTTGATAAGAGATCCTACCCCTCACTCGCGCCACCTACAGTTTAAAAATAATCTTAATTTCTTACCTTGACTTTTTCAGAAAGTTTTAATGGTTGTCGTTGTAATACTGCCACAGAGAATAAGCTGCCCTGCTTCAAATTTAAGTAGGGAGAGTCTGAGTTTTCTATATCATGGACCAGTGTGTTCTGTAAAATTGGAAAAATAAAATACTTGTCATAATAAACTTTATTATGTTTAGTGTGGATACATGCATCGGGCATTAGAATTCATGCATGTATTTTATTAATTTTATTCAATTATGTATCGAGATTCCGTTTTCAAACATTGGGTCGTATACATATATGTACATATACATACATATTGCATAAGGTTTTCGATTTTGAAATTCATAAGAGGTGTTACATGGTGAGAAGACATGTTAGGCCAATAATGCTAATACAGTGTCCGCCAATCACCATACTGGTTACAAAATAATGGTCGTTACCAAACACTTGACAGGAACATCTTCTTGAGATAATATTTATAGTGTTAGTAGTGTTATTTATTTACCTACAACTATAAGTAACTGGTGTAACTTCAAGGAAGGAAACCCCAACAAGACCACTAGAACACAACAGCAACAAACACAACACATTAAGTTTATTTATTTACAGCTATACAGCGTGTTACGGATCGGATTTTCGATACTTTGTCACACAAAGGGGGGCCACACCCCTTCACAAAAATTACTAAACATTAATTCATGTTCTGATTAACTTCATTATCTTTTCGACTGGTGCGACCTGACCTTCGTATGAATTTTTATCGATCAAAACCTACAAAACTTTAATTAGTATTATTGTGTGATATGTATAAGTATATATATCTACATATTAATTTATGTTTAAAACTCACAACAGTGTTAAAATTTTTCGTATACTATTGTGTCTCTCTGCATCACCTTAAGGTTGACTGTTAGAGAATCCCACTAGGCATTAAGTCCGCAAAATAAAAAAAATCTTGGAAAAAGTATGTATCGCAAATCCAATCCCTAACCACTGTAGGAGAACAAATTATATAAATTGGTAAAAAAACTTACAAAGCTAGTATTATTGCTGGGAGTTTCCAAGATGGCGTCATTGAGTGATTGGAGAGGGGATTGTGGCACCTCTATTACATCCGCCGTCTTCTTTATCAACTGATTATTCAAATCTGTCATTTCCTTTTCATTTTTCAGTGTTTCATATTTACTGTTCAGTGAGTCATATCTGTTTTGAGCTTGGTGCAGGTCGTCTTCTAGTTTTCTGTAATGAAAAGGAATATAAAGCTATCGAAAAACCTTATAATCATGTAATAAAAATTGTATTATTTAATACAAATAAACACAAATTTGACTGCACAGTTGGTGCGGTGGCTGGGCAACCGGCTGCCGTGCAACGTGTCGCGGGTTCGATTCCCGCACGAAACAATACTTTGTGTGATCCACAAATTGTTGTTTCGGGTCTGGGTGTGATGTGTATGTGAACTTGTATGTTTGTAAAGGTACCCACGACACAGGAGAAAATGCTAAAGTGGGGCAACGTTTTTATTAAACAAACAAATAAATGTCAATTATGTAGAAATTTCATAAAACATATTAAGTTCTCACACGACTTGGTTCTGCAGATCAGCAACAGTCTTCTTCTCCAAAGCAAGCTGCTGTTTGGCCATGTGCAGCCTGTCTCGAGTCTCATTCTTCTTTGTCTCAGAGTCACATAGAGCTCTATTAAAAAAATATAGGTATAATTTATTACAAATCCTATGACACACTATAATACAGTAGTTGATAAATAGTCAAATTCGATTGTGAATAAATTGCTAGAATAAATTGAAAATTCAGTATATCGTCAAACTAATGAATGAAAGTGCAATTATTATTGAATATTTTGGATTAATTAATTGGATTGAAAAATCTGAATAATTTATTTTTGACAGAGAAAACTATCCAATTATACTCCTTAAAGAGATTGAAAATTAGACATTAATCCAAATTTCACTAATTTAAAAATTTAAATCCAGGAATACAAGAGATGCACTCCTGTCCCTCAAAAACATGAAATGTTACAGATATACACCATTCTTCATAACAAAATGACAGTTAAATGATATTTACCTTTTAAGAGCCGTGGCGAATGTAGCAATAGTTTTGACATCAGTGTAGCTGTGCAACATCTGTTCTACATCATCACTCGTTGCATTTAACACTCGTTGTAGACTGAAATTGAAACATTAATAATATTAGAAATACTGTAATGTTGGTGAATAAATACTTGCTGAATAAATGTATTTTCTTTTTTGTTTTAGTAAACAACATTTTGTATTAATTAATGAAACCTCGCTAGATCTATTTAAACTGTCAAACACCAAGCGGTCACCGGTGACCGCAACTGTTCTTTAATTGTGTCTATAAATACGGTACTCGACGAGTTAACGCTCTTGAAAAATTGCGGATCACCTGATGGTAAGCAATCTGCGTCGCCCATGGACACGTGGAACACCAGAGGCGAGGCCTTTCGGGATTAGGAATTTGAAGATTGTTGGGGATTCAGGAATTGGGAAAGGGGGAGAGGTAATTGGGCCTCCGGTAACCTCACTCAAACGACGAAACACAACGCAAGCGGTGTTTCACGTAGGTCTTCTGTGAGGCCGTGGTATAACTCCAATCGAGCCGTCCCATTCTTGCCGACACTTCAATCGTGCCTCACAATAAACATTTCATAATTTACAATTCTTACCCATTAAGTGTTTGCATGTTCTTCGTCAAGTTTAAATTTTCTTCTTTCACTTTATGCAGTTCTCTGTTCTGTACGCTTAATATTTCCAGCTGTTCCCTGAGAGCCAGCACCTTGGAGTCAAAGCTAACCAGCCGCTTCTCATATGATTTTAGAAGATCACTGCAATAGATATTTTTTATTTTAATGTAATACCAGCAAGGTCTAGGGAAGTAAGTAAAGGGTGCACTACCCAGACCTACCCAATGGGAGTTAGTGCAAGTTAGGCCTGATATATGTATATCATCTTTACAATTTTCTGCCTATCTATGCCTAAAAAAGGTTTAAGTGTTTTAAATATTGTAAAGAATAGAGTATAGCAGACAAAAAAACCGACTTCAAAAACCAAAAACTAATAACAAACAAAAGGTCAAAACTAAAAAGCAAAACATAATTATTATTAGTATTGGTCGGTGCCATAGTACATAGTAACTACTCCTTTTTTTGAAGTCGGTAAAAATGTGTAAACAAAGCAAGTCAACTGTAGTGTAGATTACTGATTCTATTCTTTTAGCCTTTACCTGTCGACAAAAACTGTTAAAGGCTAATTTTCCGTTAGAGGACCAAGATCACATTGATGACTTGGGTCATCAGTTTGATGTTTAGCATGAAATCAGACAACATTGAGCGATGTAACACAATACTCATCATCATCATCAACAGCCGGAAGACGTCCACTGCTGGACAAAGGCCTCCCCCTTAGCCCTCCACGTCGAACGACAACTCGCCACCCGCATCCACTGGCTCCCCGCAACTCTGGCGATGTCGTCGGTCCACCTAGCGGGAGGTCTGCCCACGCTTCGTCTTCCGGTCCGTGGTCTCCACTCAAGGACTTTCCTGGCCCATCTGCCGTCAGTCCTTCGAGCGACGTGGCCTGCCCATTGCCACTTCAGTCTGCAGATTTTGCGAGCTATGTCGGTAACTCTTGTTCTTTGGCGAATCTCCATATTTCGGACTTTGTCGCGCAAAGAAACCCCGAGCATAGCTCTCTCCATCGCACGCTGAGCGACTTTGAGCTTCTCCAGAAGGCCAGAGGTCAGGGACCACGTCTCGGTACCATACGTCATCACCGGCAACACACACTGGTTGAACATCCTGGTCTTTAGGCACTGAGGGATTTTCGATGAGAAGATTTCGCGTAACTTCCCGAACGCTGCCCATCCAAGTTGGATTCTTCGGGCGACCTCTTTGTCGAAATTGGACCTACCTAGCTGTATAATCTGCCCTAAGTATGTGTAGTGGTCTACAACTTCGAGGATATCGTTCCCAACGATGACCGGTACAGGTGCAACATGGACGTTTGACATGATTTTGGTCTTGTCCATGTTCATTTTAAGACCCACCTGTTGGGAGACGATATCGAGGTCGCTGAGCATGGTGTTTAAATCCTCCAGCGACTCCGCCATGATGACTACATCATCGGCGAAGCGGAGGTGTGTGATGTATTCGCCATTGATATTGATGCCCAGTCCACTCCAGTTTAAAAGCTTGAAAACGTCCTCCAATGCGTTGGTGAACAGTTTCGGAGAAATCACGTCTCCCTGCCTCACGCCTTTCTGCAATTGGATTGGTTCCGTGCTATCTTCCTGGAGTCGGATGCGCATGGTGGCGTTTCTATACAAACACTTTAGCACCTCGATATATCTGTAGTCGATATGGCATCGCTGGAGAGACTGCAGCACCGCCCAGGTCTCGATCGAATCAAAGGCTTTTTCATAGTCCACAAACGCCAAGCATAGTGGCAAGTTATACTCCTCAGTCTTCTGTATAACTTGCCGCAGCGTATGAATGTGGTCTATGGTGCTAAAGCCTTTCCGGAACCCGGCTTGTTCGGGAGGCTGGAAGTCATCAAACCTGCGTTCCAGACGGTTCGTGATAACCCTAGAAAACAGCTTATATACATGGCTCAGAAGCGAGATGGGTCTATAGTTCTTCAACAAAGAGTTGTCACCCTTCTTGAAGAACAGAACCACTACACTCCTTTGCCATGCTTTCGGCGTAGTTCCTTCGAGAATGACGGAATTGAATAGTTTCTGGAGGACTAAAAGTATCGGTTTTCCACCCGCTCGCAGAAGTTCTGTTGTGATTCCGATGTAACACAATACTACATATTTGAAACTTGTCACTTAGACATTAGCTGTCTGTAATTAGGCATGATGTTCTTAAGTATCAATCTTAAGTATAAATCTTAAAGATGCTGGCACTGTCTGCTTGAAGCAGTCCGTGTATGGCGGCTCTTACTGATTCTATTAAGAAAATAACTTACTCTTGTCTCTTCAAGTCCGCCGTAAGAATGACTACTTTATCCTCCTTCTCCTTAAACTTGGACCGTTGTTGCCGCAGCTGCAGCTGGGCATCGTCTAACCTGGACTGTAAAGTGGCTGCGTCTTCACTGTTATTCTCATTAGATATAGTTGGGAATAAACGGAACATACATTTGTCCGTCACTTTGTTCCTGCATTGTGGACAGGTTTTTGATCTGGAAGAGATAGGTTTGGTTAAAATAATAAAGTCAAAAGTCAACATCATTTATTTCAATTAGACCAGGAAGGCACCCTTGAACGTCATATTTAAATATTAAATAATAAGAAAAAATGTCAGTCTGTAGGTCAGTCCTCTAGTGAAGCTATTTGCTCGTTCCAAAGTGTAGATTTCTATGGAGAAGAATGAGCAAGAAACTCCATAGGTTACTCTTTTTCAATCATGTTCACAATACAATTTTTGGTTACATTCTTTCGTTGACTTCAATTATGAGAGAACAATGTAATACCAATATTTGGTCAAGGAGACGGAAAAAGAAAATAACCTTGAGGATAAATAACAGTCCGGAGCTGACCAGTCCAACTTGACAGCTAGTAGCACTTGAAAGCAAGATAATGAAGAGATTATCTTTTGATTTTTATTTTTAATATCTGATGTTTGACCACTATCTCGCCTGGCGGTAATGGCGATGATGCAGTCTACAATGAATCACGTCGTCCTATAAGCAACCTATTCACTTGGGCCTTGAAGACACCCAGATACCCTTCAAGAAATACAGACAATGGCAAAGAATTCCACTCCTTAGATAAAAGTAGGAAATGTAATTGGACTGAATATGCTATTATATTAAAGAAATGACGGATTGAATGACTTACTAGAAATTTTATAAATATATGTTGTTAGTCCATAGAAAATCACTTTTTAATTATATGTGATTAGTTACTTGGACTAAAAATGACCATTCTCATTAGTAAGCACAAACGATTTATAAATAGATCGAATAATGATTGTTATATTGCTTAGGGGATTAAATAAAACAGGTTGGTAAATAATCTGACTGAAATTTGTTTCAGTAAATAGAAATACTATGCGCAAACAAAAGAATCAAGTAAATACCTTTCAATCCATTGTACCAAGCAATGGTGGTGAAATATATGACCACATTTAGTCACAAATATATTCTCAGCTTGATTTACGAGATCACTGCATATCGTACACAAAATATGCATCTGAAAGAGATTAGCAAAGCATTTTATAGGTTATGTTTTGGTACGCATTTTACGACACTATTTCAAAATTACTCAGTGCTATATGAATTTGGTATAAGTAATTTAAAGTTATAAATAACTATTTATACATCCTTACCTTTTATTTTTATAAATATAGCAGATTCATCCGCAAAACTTCACAAATAGGTCGAAATCATTCTATATACCTTCATACGAAATATTACACTTATATTATATATCTATTACATAAAACACTAAGTTGTTAATAAGATATCATTTTCGTCTAATTTGTAGTCGAATTAAAACTGTTTTAATTAAATATGCACTATTAAACAATAATAACAAACATTCATCCGAACGAAACGCCAAAATTGGAAAATGTCAGTTGTTTGATGTGCTGCCAGCAAAAAAATACGCTGCGTTTCGAAATACGGTGTTGCTAGTATTTAAAATTTATCGATTAAAATGTACTCTTTTTGGTGTAAAAGCAATTTTTCTGAGTTATTGTAGTAACTACTATTTCTTGGTTAATTACTTAAAATCCGAATTCGTCTCTTCAATAATAAGATTATCTTAAGATTGTATGCGATCGCCGATCACAATAACATTCCTCGATTCTTGAACACTGATCATGATGATAATACTTACAGTGTGAGTTGAAACTATGATAGACCCACACGCACCCACACCCAGTGGTCCATTATTGATACGGGTAGTTAGTCAACCAAATAAACAACATTTAAATTAAGTAGTTTAATTTACGTGTAATTTATATGAGGAATACAATTAAAATACAATTTAAATGTATGACTCCATATAAAAATATTTGGAATGTAAAATGGCAATGAATCTTATGTGGAGAACATAACACGTTGAATTTACGCAATCTCATAATGTGTTATTTACCTTAGAACCTTTTTTATTAGGACATCGTGGTCGTGCGTGAGATGGATATGGATTGTGCCAAGGACGTTTAAAAAAGGGGTTGTGCAAAAAATTTACACAGTTGTACAACCAACTGTTCATTCCTAGTGTTCGTTCTGGTATGTCTTTATGGAGAGCAAGGTTGTATGACCATTGTGTCCCATTGTGTCCTATATACATTCATAATGATTTGCTTTGCTTGCAATAAAAAAATTGGTTTGGGAGATCAACTGAGATGTACTGGATGCAAGACAGTATATCATTATACCTGTCTTAATATTACAACGGCTACATTCACTGAACAAAAAACCCAGTTGAAGAGTACCTACAGATGTGATTCCTGCTCGAACATAACACGTCGGGTACATGTGACCGACGAGACACCTGTACGTGGTTCCCGCTCAGGAGGAAGGGTGATAGAAGAAGAGTTAACTAAGAGTAGTGAAGAGATTATTACGGAAAAAAGTACGCCATTGGCAAATAATATGATGGATAATATGCAAAGTATTACGGATATATTAAAAGGAATAATATCCTCCAGGTTGAATGATATTGAAATAAAATTGATTCAAGAGATTAAAACTTCAGTAGCTAGTTTGGTTTTAGAAAATAAAAAACTGAGAGAAGATTTGAGTGACGCTTATAAAAAGTGCTCTTATTTAGAAGAGGAAGTTAAAGTTCTCAAAAATGGGAAAAATATTACTACGCAGCAGAATGCTTGTACCACATTCGTACAAAATTCTTTACATAGTCCAACTACTAAAGAAGCTTCCACCACGCAGACGCAGTCATCACGCGCTGTTTCCGGGATATTGCCGGCGAACCCGAGAGCGAGATCGCCGCTGCCGTCGCCGGCCGCTTCGATCATATTTGCATTGTTGCCGTTCGTACTGAACAGACGTGCGCATTAGCAATACGCAAAATTTGTGACCTCCTTTCATATTGTTACTTATTACTCAGTTTTTTTCTACAAATATGGAAACATAAACGTAGTGAACAAGCGAAGACAAAATGGATAATAGTCCCAGTAATATCCGTGCCTGTACCTCGCAAGTGAAAAGCCAGCAACCTAGCTTCTGTATAGAAGTGGTATCCACGTCGGAACTCCAAAAATGGATGTCAACCATCGAGAAGCAGTTAAACGAAGTCTGCACTATTGCCACAGAAGGCAAACTCAACTCCGAGCAAAAATTAAGAATAACTAACTTGAGCCGCAAAATAGAATCAGGTGTATCGCAAATAGCAGTCTCGTATCAGTCTTTGAAGCAGAAAGCGAAACAAGCCCTCTATATAATTGACGACCTTAGAGAAAAACGTGACCTAGCGGAAGAAATTATGGTGTTGAAAAAGGCTATCAACGACTCTGCCGCAACTAAGAACGTCTCTTTTGCCGATATGGTGAAGAAAGGGCCAAATGATTTTGTGCAACCCCAAAAGCAAAATTCTGTTGCAATTTACCCAGTGAGTAAATTAGTAAAGTGCAGTGACGAAACCAAATCTCTGGTACAACAAATCATACGGCCTGACCAAATGAAGCTACACGTACGTGGAGTCCGAAAAATTCAAAACGGAGGCATAGTAATTAGCACAGACAACAAACAGGATGCTGAGAAGGTCAAGCAGGCAGTTCATCAGTCGTCATCTGGTCTTGTCATCGGTGAGCCCAAAAAACGCCAGCCACGAATCACTGTGGTAGGCGTCCCGACTTCTTTAGTTGACACTGACGTATTGAAGTACATCTACGAGCAAAACATTGCTGAGAAGTTTCCAGAGATGACCATGGAGTCCTTTTTAACAGCAATTAAACTGAGCCACAAATCCGGAAAGAAGGATGCGCCGACCTGTAACCTTATCTTAGAAGTTCCAGCCAACATTCGCAAGGTCCTTATAGCTCAGGAAAGAATATATATAAATTGGAACTCTTGCCCTGTAAGGGATTTTACATTAGTCACCAGGTGTTATAACTGTCAACAGTACGGACATGCAGCTAAATCATGTAGAGGCCCCTCATCATGTGGACACTGCGGAGAAATAGGCCATTTAACACCGGCGTGCACGAAAAAAGGAGAATCCCCTAAATGTGCAACATGTTCTCGATTTAATAAGCCTAACAATCATAAGACGGGTGACGCAGAATGTCCGGCAAAGAACATAGCTCAGCACAGGTATATCAACTCGATTGATTACGAGGGCGCGTAATGCGTCATGAGTTAATTGGCCTCCTTATTGCACAACAGTGACACTACATATTATGTTGGATTAATCATCACTTTGTTGCTATCCAGCATTTGTGCTTACTCAAACACAACCAAATGAATGACCGTATGGACTTTAGTGTTAGCCTACTTAGTTTATTTCTGCTGATGTAGATAATTTCTCGTCGATAGACATAATGTTGCTGTTTTAAACAAATGTTACTTTAGTTGTTATTTTAATATATTTATTAGGTATATTATAGTATATTTTATATGAGGATTAGTTTTATATGTATGTATGTATATTAAAATAATCTTATTGTTTTCTGTTGTATAATGTTAAGTATACGGGTCTATAGAAATAAAATGTGTTACTATAAGAATTATATTTAGAACTCCTCTCGCCTGCGATACAGGAATGTCCTAGTGCAGGCAAATAACATTGTGAGGACAATTGTACGTATTTACGCTCTGTTTTTGTATTTCGCATTTTTTGAATTATGAATAAAAATTTATTATTATTATTATTATGTATGTCTTTACCATTCACGGGACCACAGGGTCCCGGTCATTTGGGAGGCGTACGAGGGGCCGAAGCCAACTGCGCAGAGGCCCTTTAGACAACTATAATATAAATGTAATGGACACACAAACCGGCGACTATCCCTGTATGCACTATGGAAATGCACCCAAGGACAGTCCCCGGTTAGTGTAGGACTATTGTGAATAATGGAAAAAAAAAAAAAGGTAGGGCTATGGATGGGTTGTTGTGGACTGGTAAATTGGGAACTATGGATGACTATGACACCTGCCGAAACAATGTAATTTTTACACGTAAAAATGGCAGGCGGAGACTCGCCTCACCCGACCGGGCCCCGGGAATGGTTGCTAGATATAGCAACAGAGGGGCAACGAGAATGTGAGTGGCTGAAGGGTTAAGAAACTACCACCGCTTTCTACTCAGATCATCTGCTCCAGCCGAAGCCTCCTGCATCCCTGGCCCACTCGCGACTTACGAATAGTTTCTTACCCTCCGAGCAGGTTAACTGCTCTCGCGACTCCACTCTGGACGGCCAATGAAGGCAAGCCAGAGGTGGGAGACCTGTTCCTTGTCATCTTTCACTCCAGCCAGCCAATTAAGGCAAGCCGGAGAAGAAGGAACGGTGACTTCTCCCTGGAGCACTCGGGATGATGGTAGCCCGCGGGATCGCTAACGCCCGTCACCTCGCCTCAAGGTGCCCTGCGGGCTTATTATTATTATTATTATACCTACGACCGCGGCCGCGGCCCCGGCAGCCCGAGCGACAATCGCGTCGACGCGCGCCTCGGCCACAGTATAAATTATACTATGCCTCGGCTCAGCTGGGCGATACCTACGCGGAAGCGGTGGCCAGAAAAACAGCGGTAGCGGAAACGGGTGCGCATAACACAAATGATACATGGAATGAAGTAACAAATAGGAGAAGAAATAATCCAGTAAAAATAGGTGGTAATACTTCAGTTACATTGTTGAAGGCAGTAGAACGGAAAAAATATTTACACGTGTGGAGATTGGACAAAAATACTACAGAAGATAACATTAAGAAACATATTAAAAATATAATAGGAGATAGCTCAGAATATAAAGTAGATAAAATAAAAACAAGAACTGAAAGGAATTACTCTTCGTTTAAAATTGGTTTATTGGAAAAGGACTTTGTAAAACTGTGTAACCCGGATGTTTGGCCCTTAAATGTAGAGTTTAGCGAATGGATTTTTTTTCACCGTCCAAATCCAAGCACTTCAAATCATCCAAATACACAGGAGACACAGTGATACCGAAATATTATAATATTTTGTATCAAAACGTAAGAGGACTAAGAACTAAAACAACACAGTTTTTATCATTACTAGAATCTTCTGCTGCTGACATATTCGCTATTACAGAAACGGGTTGTAACGAATCAATTTGCGATTCAGAAATTTCGTTGCCGGGATATCAGATTTTACGTTGTGACCGGGCGGACGGCCGCAAGCACGGCGGCGTGCTTTTAGTGGCCACACCGCGTTTTGAACTGCGACGACTACAAGTACCAGGTGATATTATTATTGACTCTCAACAATTCGAACTAATATGTGCAAGTGTTTATAAACATAATAGGTTTTTATTTGTATGCTGTGTGTTGTATATACCACCTAAGGCAAATGAGACTGAGTACATGGTAATGTTTAATATATTGGAGAAATTTTGTATTAAGTATAGAAGTAATATAGTTATTTTAGGAGATTTTAATTTAGTTTCGTGCAATAGTATTGTTAATAATTATTTTGAATATTTTGTTGCCTTCTGTGAGGTCACTCAGTGTAACATGGTACCGAATTGCAATAACAGACAACTGGACCTTGTGTTGAGTGGGCGCAGTGGCGTGTTAGTGTGCGCGGCGGAGGAGGGGTTGCGGCCTGTGGACGTGTATCACCCGCCGCTCGCGGTCGCCGTGGACGTCGCCACGCAGGCGCAGTCCTCGCCGGTTCTCCATTCGGCGGCGGCCGACTTGGCGCATGCGCAGGACTCGCAACACCTTAACCCATATAAACGTTGGAACTTTCACAAGGTAGACTTCAATTATTTATATTATTTGATAGGTAGAATACACTGGGAAGAAATGTATAGTATGCAAGTTCCTGAAGAGGTTTTAAATTTCTTCTATACAAAGATGAACGAAGTCTTTGATACCTGCGCACCTATTAAAAAACAGAATAATCGTAACAATAGATATAATTATCCAGTATGGTACACATCGGATATTATTAGGGATATTAAAACAAAGTATTTACTACACAAAAAATATAAGGCCAGTAGAAATTCTAGTGATTATGAGCAGTTCTCTCGGTACAGAGCGAAGATTAAGATGGAAACAGAGCTAGCCCACAATCGGTACAGGGACCGCGTACAGAACCATCTGGCCAATGACCCTAAAGCTTTTTGGAACTATATACGACTGAAAAGGGGAAACTCAGGTCAAAACACGATATTAAAAAATGGACAGGTGCTATCGGGGGAAGAATGCGCGGAGGAGTATGCCCGATACTTTCAAACTGTATATAACACAGAGCCGGCTACACTGAGCGCAGAAGCGGCGAGTTGCGCCGCATCGCCAAGTGGCGCGTGGGCGCATCTCGGCACGCTGGAGCGGGCGGCGGTGAGTCGTGCGCTCGCTCGTCTACCACCTAAGCGATCAGTGGGGCCGGATGGTATACCACCTTTTATACTCAGGGATTGTCGCATGGTTTTGGTCGAACCATTACTACATTTATTTAACATCTTTATTGCAGTTGGGAGGTTTCCTGACCCATGGAAACTTTCTCGAGTCGTACCCGTACCGAAAGGTGGTGGAGGTACAAATGCCAGCGACTATAGACCTGTGGCAGTCCTATGTGCTCCAGCTAAGGTTTTCGAGTCAATAATCCATAACCATCTATATTCTCAGGTAAGCGCCCACCTGACTGATGCTCAGCACGGCTTTCGCCCCGGTCGGGGAACAACGGGCAACTTAATGCAGTTGATGACGCAAGTGGTGCCTGCAGTTGATGCTGGTCGGCAGGTGGACGTAGCTTACCTAGATTTCAAAAAAGCATTTGATACAGTTGATCACGATGTCCTCCTTAGGAAACTTGCCGGAATAGGCTTTACGCTACACACTCTTAAATTCTTTTCCACATACTTTGGAGACAGGCGCCAATACGTGGACTGTGGCGGGTACTATTCTGAGCCGTATTACACGAGGTCCGGGGTGAGCCAGGGCAGTAACTTGGGTCCTTTACTGTTTAATTTAATGATAAATGACCTACCAAGCATAATAAAAGGATCGATATGCCTACTGTTTGCAGATGACCTAAAACTTATACACGAAATAAGGGATAACGAGGACCATGTTAGTTTACAACACGATATTGACAGAGTCATTGAGTGGAGCCGGGAATTCAAGTTGTATTTCAACGTTGCTAAATGCTCAGTTCTGTCATTCACTCGTGCAAGCAGCCCCCGTCACCACCGATACTGCATGGAAGGTGAACTGTTGCAACGCGTTACGGAGGTGAAAGATTTAGGAGTCCATTTTGTATCAGAGCTACACTTCAGGAAACACATTATGGATGTATGCAAGAAGGCATACCGCAATCTATAGTCCATCTGTTTAGGTAATTAACTAAAGGTAAACAAAGAAAACCACGTGACACAGAGATACTTAACCTACTATTACTTCAAATATTTCTCGTGTTTTAATTTTAACTAAATTCACTTTAAAATAGTTCATTTGTCATATACACACATACAAGTACAAATGCCTAAATCGTACAAGAGCCTAGCCTATGGGTCTATTTCATTATCATGTTTAAATAGAAACTATTCTGAATCTGATGTACGGATTTCTTTCTTGTACGGATATCTGTCTTTGGGCCAAGTTTCTTCAATATATTTGAACACATTAATTACAAACGATGAATAACCTAAACTTAAATAACTTAATAACAAAAACAAAACAAAGAAACAAGTTAAATTCAACAAAATAGGAACGCGAGCGCAAACGACGAGAGAGCTGTCAATGGCGCCTGATTAACCGACTAAACGTAATACACGCTACTTTCATTGTCGCGCTACATCTTCGTTGTACTCTTTAATTTGACAATATTATGTTGCTTCGTTCTTAAAGAAACGTTTTGGATACCTGGGATTTTAGGCTCTTTATGGTGTCTATTGTAATGAAATATTATATTATTTAATAAATGTTATTAAATTAATATCCTCAAGCAGATATATTTAATATTTATTAAGAAATAAGTGAAAAGGAACAGAAACATAACATTTAATAGAGAAAACTGTCGTAAAAAGGGAAACAATTTTATTTTCTTATGAAGTATTGTGAATCATGGAAATGTCAACTATAAAGAACTCTTTTTATGGTTTGTTTACAAATAGTTAACTACCTAAACAGACGGAGTATAGGTTTTATTTTACGTCAGGCAAACGAGTTCAATAACAACGCAGCTTTAAGGGCGCTCTATGAAGCTTTAGTTAAAAGTCACTTGGAGTGTAACTCTGGTATCTGGAGTCCACATGAGGACAAATATAAGTTCATGATAGAACGAATCCAAAATAAGTTTGCCAGATTCATGTATTCAAAATCGTACGGTATATACCCTGGATACCCAATACCATATCCAACTTTGTTTGTACTGGGTATGGTAGGATACTACAAACTGGAGGTGAGGCGTGAAGTAGGTCTAGCTACTTATATGTTTAAGGTGTTGCGAGGTATAACGCACCACCCTGCCCTACTGGAGGAATTGCGCCTGTGTGTTCCGAACGGGTACGTGCGGCGTAGGCGGCGGCCGCGGCTGCTGGTGGTACCGTGCGCACGCACGAACCTCTTGCAGAAGGCACCAATGACGCGAGCGTTGCGCATATTGAATGCAATAGCGGACAGTACGGATATATTCTCGTGTACACTCAACGAGTTCACAAAGGTAGCATATGAGGTTATTGTGAATAATAGCTAAGTTCCTAGGGTTGGTACTTATTTGATTCTATTTATATAATTTATGTTGTTAGTACCTAGGTACATAGATTTTAAAATATAAGTACCTACATATTTGTTATTACTAAAGTTATTTACGTTTATTAGGGATAGTTTTGTGGAAATGTATTAGCCTGTAAGTTTAATTAAGGTTCTTTGTGCTTATGTTCTTTTGTTTTTCTTTGTCTAAATTATTTTACGGTTATTACCCGGATATTGTGTTATAAGTTTACTAATAATATGTAACTGCATTTGTCGTATTAGGTGTGCCTGTAATGATGAGTGTAATGTTTAAATATAAATAAATAAATAAATAAATAAATAAATAAATAAATAAATAAATAAATAATCAAACAGGGCCCTTAGACAAAAATATTCCATCAAGCTACAATTAGCTTAAAAACAAGAATTTACAAAGACAGCCAAAAATCTTTCTTTTCTACTCTTCAACTTCTTCCATCTTCTTATACGCTTTCTTGAGATCTTCAAGAAGATTCATAGCTTGAGACTTCTCAATAAGAAGTTCCTTCTTCTGCTGTTCTCCTGTGAATACGTCATTGCTGTGCAGTGTCAGGGTAAAGGTGTCCACTGTCCCTTCAGGTCCAGGAGTCGTTGTCACATCTGTCAGCTTGTTTACTGAAATTAAAAATATGTATTTAAACAAGTAGAATATGAATGTGAAGGGATAAAATGATAGAAGACGACCAAAGAAAAAGTTGTTAGATTGTGTAGGTAAGTATAGAATAATATAAAAAAAAATTAAGGAGTTTGTGGTAAGATGGCGTGTGATAGAGGAGTATGGAGAAGAAGACATGTTGTGCTGTAAACTAAGAAGATTAGGGACAAGGACAAAAAGAAGAAGACTTAATGACATCAGAAGAATAAAGTTATTATCAACTGACTCATGAAACCATTAGCCTCAACATGCGCCACATGCTCCGGCCTGTAGTTGTCCACTGCATCGGCTAGTGCGCTGGCATGAGTCCGAGGTACACCCAGCACGAGCAAGTCGCGAGTGAGCTGTGCACCCGTGCATGCACAAGCACAGGACTGCTGCACAACCCAGCGGATGACAGCCGCGGCACGGGCGCATTCGTCGCGGGATGCTGTAGGAAAGTGATAAATATTATTAGCTAGGTTTAAAAACCACAGAGATAGAGGGGCAAATGTTTCAATATTCATTTTACGCAGAGAGAGAATTAAAAGAACACTGAACAAGTGAGACCGTAAGATCACTGAGAATTTTAGAAAATGGAAGATATCCAAAAGATATTTTTCAAGGAAGTCGAACCGGAGTCTTATTTGCGACCAAACAATCAACCATTTTAATAACCAACTTCCCAAAAAGAGGAGGTACTCCAAACAAGAGAGGATCAACTTACATAAACTCGTGTCTTTCAGGATTTCCATGATACCGTCGTCCTGTGAAACAAACAATGTATTAATTTCCTATCGACTAAATTCAACTTTTTAAGGAGTGTTTTTTTATAACTTAATTTCGATCGAATTTTATTCTCAAATCTTTTTGTTTGGGTAGATAATACCTATTAGAAATATTTACTACAAACACAATCATAATAACACCATTATTCTTAAACAACGTTTCTGAATAAATGCAAATAACACATATTACCACTAAAAAGGTCAAATAACACATGAAGTGCTACATACGCCGACTCAATTATCTTAGCTCGGAGTCAAAGGCACAGTGGGCGAGACCATCAACAAGTATAACACAACAAATTGACAAAGGAACCCCGCCTAATGTTATTTTTCTCAGGAAACATTAGAAAACAGATGCCATTTTGTATTTGGTCAGTTGGATAGCTATACTTCGGTACCTATACGTCTTTATGCTCGTGTACGAACTATTTATTGTCTTTTGTTATGGTGGAAACATCGTTAATTATGATTTTAGTTCCAGGTCATTTAATAAATTAATTTTTCGGTTTCAAGGGTTGAAAATGGAGCTTAAGGGACGTGTTATTGGAGAGACCTATTTTCAGAAGTGAAACATAATTCATTTTCTAAAAATAATTACTAAGTAGGTACCTGAATAATTTGTTTGAACGTAGGCAATTGTTTGTTCCGTTTTAAAAATGATTTGTTTGCAATCAAATATTTTTCTAATGCCTTATTTTCGACATAGAAACACGAGGAAAATGGACTTAAATTACAAGAGTGGCCAGAATGTGGAGGTGGGTAAAAGTGGGTGATATTTGCTGGTCAATAAAGACACGTCAGTGACATAACTGTGCCTTTATTACGACGCCCCTTTTGTTTTACTCGGACGAAAATAATTAGGATAAGTCAGCCTGCAATTTGGTAAGCATGTGTGGGCGAAACGCGGTACGTAAGTATATGTGTTAACGTCATTTACAGATTTTATTCGATTAGTCGAGTTTAATTTTTATGAATAAGTAAGATGTATGCGATTTTAGGTTCAAGTTTAGCCTGATAATTCACCTGGTACCTTAAAATTTGCCTGTCGCCCATACGTATTAGGCCAGACACAATTGGGTAGTTTCCGGGGTATCAAAATTAAAAATCTAATTAGTCCGTTAGTTATATAATGAAAAAATATTAGACACGTATTTTTTTTTATTTTCCATTATTAAGTTGTAATACTTAGATAAAATGGCGCTAAGTTTTGGAGTGGGAGGTCGTTACGTCATAACGTGCTACAAAATGTGGCTCGCTGTGACGTCACGATATTTCAAATTAATATATCGTCGAAAGTATTTAATTTTTTGAGAAAAGAAAAAAAATATCTAATGTTTTAAACTAATGTACCTTCCAGACGGACATTAAAATAAAATTTAGAAAACTACCCTGTTGAACTGATGATGAAAGAGTCTTTATCATCATTATCTGTACATCATTCGCTTTATGTACGAAGTTAAAAAAATCTCAAAATTATATTCAATAACCCCCTGTTATTACAAGAAAAAACGTACTACCAAACTTATTACATTGAAAGAGTTAGCCAGTATGTGAACTTTTTCACTGAGGTAAGTAAGTTTAAAAACTCGTAAATCAACGTCAAAGTTGCGTTTTCCTAAGTTGTCTAAATACTTGTAAATATTTCCTAACATACTTTACTAGCGTGCACTCATTAATTTATTAGAAATGACGTAACTAACTAGTATCGACTACACAGCGAAGAAGTTATTCAACTTCTAGCCAAAAGTCTGTAACAGGTCACTGCTGAATGCACTCTCTGCTGAAAGAATAATACCTTATCTAGATGTAATTCGATCAAAGTACATATTGTTTTTTTTATTGTTGAAATTGATTGTTAAATTAGTATTCATGTTTTTCCTCAATACATATACTTCTCTGTTTTAATAAAACTTAAGCCTAGTGCTCACCACAATTTGTACACCTCCGGGTATAGCATAGCGCTCTTTTTTAATACCATTATAACACCTATATCTGTACCTATGTTAACAAATAAAAGTAATTTGATTTGATCTCTACATAAGACAGGCTTTGCAGGCGGGTTGAATATAGCAGTTCAAAATTTTTAGGTTCATCACAGAGTTTATACTGCCCGGTCTCTGTCAAATGTGTAGTCTCTTAGGCGATGCAACATGTTGTAATTAAAGCTTGTTTAGAATTAATGCATTGCTAGTAGCTAGTACTGTGACAGCTTCTCTTTTAAAAGCAAATGAAATTGGTATCAAAGTCCCATTTTATAAGCTCCATTTTTAATAGATATTTACACGATTCGCTTAGTTTTATACTCACTAGTGTTATACAACGGAAATGGTAGAACGAACGATTGGTGAGATATGCTTTTGACAACAGCTTTTAGGTATAGGTACTCAAGAACAGTTTTTCATAAAATTTTCAGGCACATCAATGGAAATTATTAAATTAATTGAGATGAACATGTAAAATAGTGAAACATCTGTTTTTAACAAGTCTTATTGTGAATATTTTGTAATAGAGGGCAGAGAGAATAGAAGAGGGTGAAATCCTGCACAATTCCGGAGCGTTTTTTCTTCGCCCTCCGAGAATCTAAGCTAAGTCTCGAGAAATTCTCTAACTCGTCAAACTGCCTACAAAGTAGTATAGGTACACAAATAAAATATAGATAACAAAATAAAATGTTATGATAAAACGATGGAATTGAGTTTACAAAACGTATTGAATACAGGGCACGTGCGATGATACGTGACGAATGCCTGTCTGTACGCCAAGCAGTCAAGCTTGATCTATTTATGTTTAGGCTATGCAAGGGATTATTATTTTACATAACATAACATAACATCACGCCTTTTTATCCCTGAAGGGGTAGGCAGAGGTGCACACAGAAGTAACAAACACTTTTCACTATTTATGTTATGAGTCCCATGTAATAGGGGGTGAGCCTATTGCCATATTGGCACATTTCCAGACTCCGTGCTACTACTGGGATTTAAAAAAAAAATTTAGTAATACTTTGTCATGACCCGGGAATCGAACCTAAGACTCCTTTGCCCGGCAGTCGCACTTGCGACTCGGCCAACGAGGCAGTCATTATTATTTTATTACTATATTTTTAATGCCTATAGCATAACATATGTATGTAACGTTACCTACACTTATTAAACTGTCGAACGCCAAGCGGTCACCGGTGACCGCAACCTATTGTTCTATAATTGTGTTTATAATGACGGTACTCGATGAGTTAATCCACGACGGGATACAGAGGTATACATACTATACGATGTTGACCACTATTAACTAGTTATCTTACAAGTCCTATGCATTAGGGAGCTTTTTTTGCATAAACCGGACATAATTGTAATCTATAAGTTACTATGAAAAAAAAAACCGAAGAAACCTCTACCTATGTATAACATATTGCCCAACCCTTGAATCAAAAACGACATTACTTACGAGGCAGTCGCGCTTACTATGACTCAATTTCTTTGTATTTTATTATAAAGTAATTAATGTACACAAAGCACCGCTAATTAGTTGCAGCGCAACACATCGACACTGCTGTCATCTACACAGTGTACATGTGTGGGTAATTTCATATTACTGTGTATAAAAATATTCGTCCACCACGTTCACATTGGTATTTTCATTCTTGTGTCGGTATACGTATTTTTATAATTTAATGCATAGGTAAGGTTAAAACTATTTACAATCATTGATATGACCCGACATTTTCACTGTCATTATCGTAGTGCTCGTGGTCGATTGGTTAATGCGTACGCTTTTGTCGCCTTTCAAGGATCAATGATGTGGGTTCTATTCCAGCTAAAAGTTTATTTTATTTTACCTTGTTATTTTTCTTCTAATTATTTTTTTTTTGTTTTTTGTCATAAAATATAAATATCAGGCTATAAAAGAAGCAAATGAGTTGGTAAATAAAACAATACTATTTTTTATTACAATTAATTTATTTATTATACAAATATGTTGTTTTATATTTATATCTAATAATTAATTATATACCACATGTTAAGTTTAAAGTTCTTTAAATCATAATTAATAGATATGACAATAAACCTCATAGTCGAATCGGGAAATATCATGCGGTACAGCGGTAATACGATGGCAGCAACATTTTTTATTAAGTAATAAACAAATACAACATTCTTGTTTTGTAATTTAATAATACATAAGTAATAAACAAGTAAAACATGTAAAAAATTACACTGTCAACATAATATTTCGTGAAATGGGCGACTTTTTGTCGTTTGAATCTTCCATTAACTCGTCGAGTACCGGTTTTATAGACACAATTAAATAACAATAGGTCGCGGTCACCGGTGACCGCTTGGTGTTTGACAGTTTAATTATGTATTTTACGACGGTTGTTATAAGGTTCAATATTCAGTGGGCTGTATGATAGTAAAAAAAATGTGACGAATACTATGGAACGATTTTAACATTCATGACCTTTAGAATCAGGGAAACTTTAAATTAATTAAAAATGGGCGTAAATATAATATGTCTATCAAGTTCGAAAGCAGTTAAATAGATTTGTTAATGAAAAATTAAAGTGAAGTGAATCAACATGTTGAATAGAAAGAAATTATGACAATTTCTAACCACAAAACAATAACATCACTTCACCGTATGCTTTAGACAGCATTTTAACTCGTCGAGTACCGGTTTTATAGACACAATTAAAGAACAATAGGTCGCGGTCACCGGTGACCGCTTGGTGTTTGACAGTTTAATATTCTTGCAAAAATTAAACATTATTATAAGTTAATTTTAACTCGTCGAGTACCGGTTTTATAGATACAATTAAAGAACAATAGGTCGCGGTCACCAGTAACCGCTTGGTGTTTGACAGTTTATAAAGGCGGAGTTTGACAGGCTCAATAATTGATTCCGAAATCAATACAATCACTGATCCTACAAGGCAGAAGGTTGCAATTCGTATACCTTTCTCCATCTTTTCTCCACAATATTTTACGCCCATCCTTATCCGACTTGAAAGTCTTTTCGTCGCTCAATATGATTACACTGTTCGCCTAATCAAAATTAATAAAGTCCCTAGCAAATTCTTAGCGCTTTTGCTGGTGAACCACAGATAACAATATTTTCTTCTCTGGCTTCCTGCACCTTAAACCAGAATGCAGGTGTCTCCGTACAGTTTGTATTAAAACATTCAGTGCTGTAGTGCGTGTTGGCAGGAACGGATCAGCCTTGTGCCTGGCTACGATGTCGTAGTGCCGAGCCGATGAATTTGCCTTTGGTTTAGGCCCACGTCGACGATGTTCAACGTCACCGGTCTCGGCATATCTGTGCACCCATAACTGCATGGATCTCCTCTGTTGATACCAAACAAATAAGTACCTATTTAAAATACCAGGAAATACTTTACAGGAATTAAAGTTACTTAAAAATAATAATAAATATAAGTAAACACAATGTTAGAATAATAATTTATAATCAAGTAGTGGCGTAAGAAATAAAAATCCCTAACCAGATATGTTTTAAAGAAACACTCCTAACAAAAACAAGTCAAGTTACAATACAATTAATAATAAATTATTAATATATCTGTAGGGGTTATAGTGTATAACCACACAAACATTCCTCCCCTTTTTTAATATTGAACTTCATAATAAGTTGCAATAATTATTTTATTCTAGTGCAAAAATTGATAGGTGTGTCGAGTTACAAAATGAAATAAATATTATTTAGAATAACAACGTAGTATCTTATTTACTCACCGATATCATTAAACGCCTTGCTATTTCAGTTATTGTTAGTTATGTTTTGCTCATGCAAAACAATGATTTCAGCCTTTTTAAATGTTGATAGGTGTTGGAACATCTTGTAAAAAAAAAAATAACTTTGCACACGAATATAAGTAGCGTAGCAATAAACTATGAAATCTTCATAAATTGACAACTAAGAACGCAATTATTTTGTAAGTCGGGTGATTTGAAAAACATGTTTTAAATAGTCGGTAGTTACTTCATAAGCGGGTAAAATAAAATGACTCGAGATTTCTATGGTCGCCACAAACATTGCAAATAGAGGTATACTCAGGTATCGAACCATTAAGAAATCACAGTTAATTACTTTTTTACTGTTTTTTATCTTATTTAAGTTGGTTGAAATGCATGAAGCAAATGAGATTATTCTAAAAAATAAATAACTAGAACTAAAATATAAATAAAAAATATTATATGTATAAATAAATCTAAAGTATTTACTATTCAAATTAACATAAGATTTAGAACAATAGGAAAGGAAAAAAAAGAAAAGATTTAATTGTTTCTAATTTCAATTTCAAATTTCAAATTTCAAATATTTGATAAATTAATTCTAAAACAACATTGAATGCTGGAATCGATCCGGCGGCACTTTACTTGACAATTGGAGGCGATAACCATTGCGCCAAGCGCGCTGTAGATGAGAACATCGAAATATTGTATATCATTCAGTAACATAAAATTACAATGAGAAAGCACTATATTTATATGGGTATTGTATAGCTCGATCGTTCATTATTTTTGATTTCGATTTATTCAAAGTTTGTTATGAGTAATTTTATCTTTACCCTCGTTTTTATTTAAACTTATTTACTAAATTATTGCGTATACCGACACAAAAATGATTTTTAAATACCAAGATGTGTGTGATAGACGAATGTTTCTATACATATCTATTGATATGAAATTACCCACACATGTATATTGTGTAAATGATAGTTGTGTCGATGTGTAGCGCTGCAACTAATTAGCGGTGCTTTGTGTACTTACAGGTTGTTCCTCCATAACATGCTGTAGCAGAGTCCGGAACAGGGCGGCTGGTACGCTGGAGAGGGCGTGCAGTGCCGCCAGCGCCCACAACGGACAGTCGCCGTCCGAACAGAACTTGAATTTCTAAACCAAATATTATTATGTACTAGCTTATACCCGCGGATTCGCTCGCATCACAAAAGCATAAAAAGTAGCTAGTAGTAAAAAGGCTACAGCGCCATCTATACCAATTATTTCGTTTCCCTCTAGAATATCAAATTTTTCCGGGATAAAAAGTACCCTATTATTTAATCAAGACTTATAACTTTACGTCTACAAAAATTCAAAGCAATCGGTTTAGTAGTTACGGCGTGAAAGCGGAACAAACAAACAAACTCACTTTCCAAATTAATAATATTGGTAAGGATTACCAAAAAATATGATTTCTTGAACAGTAAAGTTACACTTATGCAAGTTGTGAAGGCAGTTTATTACCTTCCTCTCTTCATATGAGATATAATAAGCATAAGACATATGAATATTGTTTCTTGAACAGATCCGCATTCCGTCAGATCAATGACATCGGTGTTTATTACACCTTATTATATTGTACCGTGTTTATTAAACTCTTGAAACTATAGAATGAAAATTTAGGTACAACATTATCGTAACATCACGCCTTTCATCCCCTAAGCGGCAGGCAAAGGTGCGCATTACGGCACTTAATGCCACTGTACAATGTAACACTCACTTTCCATGATTTATGTTATGAGTCCCATGTTATAGGGGGTGAGCCTATTGGCATATACCGGGCACAATTCAAGGCTTGACCTTTGACTTTGAGACTTCTTTCCCAGCAGTCGCAATTGCAACCACTCGGCCGACGAGGCAGTCAACTTCGTTACACTTTTTCACGTATAAGAACAACAATCTTTCTACAGCTATCTTATTATTTACAGCGAAAGGGACAATTTTATCTCCTCCACCCACAAACTTTACAACCCCACCAGTAACCTTAGCAAAATGCTTTGACATTGAGACGAACCAAATGAAACTTAACTCACCATGGTGTGTAATCGCCCGGAACTGTAACAAAACATTATAGAATTAACATGGGAATCACTTCTGTATGATATTCTACATCATACGTAGGGGTAGTATGGGGTGTTAGTTCGCACAATTTGCTTTTACATGTTTAGAATGGGGTGGTAATACTACCAGCTCTTACCGCGGTTTTACCGCGTCATTTTGGCCTATGGCTGTACTATATTTACGTAAGAATTCAAAAAGGTAAGAAATAACTAATTTATTTTCGCATATGTAATATTAGTTGGGTTAAGTAGGACGTAGGTACAGTAAAACGTATTTTAGCTCATGAATTTGTTTTCATAATTCTTAAAGCGATGTTTAAAAAGGATCATGGTGATAAGTCAAAACCAATTTAAAGAGAATGAATAGATATAGAACCAATTTTTTCACTAACTCGTGTACGATGGTATTATATCAGTCCTTAAATAAAAAATATCATACAAGAGAGCAAAATATATTCTTCTAAACTCCAGGCAACGTTTGAAAAACACTCCGAATGTGCTAGAACATAACGATGCCAATAATAAACATTTGATTAACTAAAAATCGCGGGTTACTCACGTGAATATTCTGAGAAAAGCTCTACTAGTTTCGAAACACAGAGGGGTTCTTCCTCATGAACAGCGTGTGCTATCGCGACGATGTCGCGCAGCCTACTGATTTTTAGTTAATTTAGTGTGTCTCACGATAGTTATTAAAAAAAAATAAACACGTGATTCACAACTTCCATAAATAAACTGACAGACAAAACATTTTTATATTTACATAATATGTTTCTCCAGTAAAAGATTATAGTCGTAGTAGGATGTAATTGATGTCCATTTTACTATAACATAATGCCAAGGAGTTATAACAGGCGTCATGGCTGTATGACGATTAGACGTAATTTCAACGTCTCGGTCATGTAGTGATCATAAACGTGACGTACATATATATCGTGGGGACTTAGTCATACTTACAAAAAACTACATTATATGAGGCAAAAAAAAAACACAATAAAAACTCTATGTTTAAAAGCCTAAAGTTTGGATTTTTTTACCGCAAAGGTATTTTTGGTAATGACTTTTAGGTAGACTTCTACTTATTACAGAACACGTGTCTTCCTAACCAGATACTTAAATAAAGGTTAAACAAAAACTAATACCACACCCACTCATCACCAATAAATTATTTTTCTCTTAAATTCTATAACAAATCAGACTAATCTTCCGAAATAAATAACAAAACGCAAAATTCTCCCGCCATTTTCAAAACAAAAGAGGTTAGAACGCGGAAAAACAAGATGGCGTCCGAGAAACTATGGACAGAGGTAGGAAACGCAGTGGAGCAGTTTATTACAAACTTTCCGTATAACATTGGCATTACGTCGTCACTCCAATGGCGTACAATGGCAGCTTATTGATAGGCTGAATGCAGCACGTTTATATTAAACTTTGCTTTGCGGACCGACCTACGCTAGGGGCAACAATAATCTGTTGTTCCTAATACATTTTTACTAAGCCCTAAGCCATGACTTTGCAGTTTGTAGAAGTGCAGTTCAAAGATAGAAGGTTCTTATTTTTCAGAAGTTGATCTATTAAGAGGACACGAGGTCCTCTTTGGGTACTGATGGTGACAATTGTGGTGGTTTTAGTTAGTGACAGAAATAGAAAACGTTTAACATCATCGTCTGAAAGAACTAAGACTTAGGTATCCCCTAGGCGTATATGTCGTAGTGGCTCGGTGGTTTAAGACGCCCTCTTCTCATGCATGAGGATGCGGGTTCGAAACCTACCAACACCAAGTACCAATGTGACTTTTCCGAGTTATATGTACTTTCTAAGATCTAGACACCACTGACAAACATTGTAGGAAAACATCGCGAGGAAACCTGGGATTATAGTTTTTAATTATAAGTTTGTAATCGCCAATCCGCATTGAGCAAGCGTGGTGATTAATGCTCAAACCTTCTCCGTGTGAGAAGAGGCTTTGCTCAGCAGTGGGCATTTATAGGCTGTTGTTGATGTTGATGATCCACTAGGCAAAAAAATCAAACCACAGCAAAGAGCTAGTTCATTAAACACATTTGCAAAGTTAATTGAGTCCAACATGATATAATACAATACGTACTTATTTAGCATTATTTACTCAGGGCTAATTATATATTTGTCGAACCCTTATAGCACATTAATATTTCATAGAAACTTGTACGAACGTCCATGTATAAACATGTTCAGGTATGGTTCTGAGACGATTCATTGAATGACTGAAAATGTCTTTGATTGGATGTATTAGATATAGTTTCATATCAATTCAATATATCACATCTCTTATTCTCGAACTACTAGGCAGGTCTATATTAATAGAAATCAGTTGTATTCGGAAAATAACACGATCCTATTGCCTTAAAGGTTCAGTGGTAAATAATACTTGATGAGACTATCCATCGATGGAATAGGACATTCGACACAGACATCTGCGTTAAACAAGCAGTTAATCTACTCTAAAGGAAGAACTAAGAAGTTCAAACATCACTTCAAAGTCTTAACAACAACAATTAACTCAACCACGCAATGTATAGTTAACTTATTTTTTTTATGAGATAATCCTGTAAACGAGCAACGGATCACCTAATGGTAAGCAATCGGCGTTGCCCATGGACTTTGAGCCTATGGTAACCTTACTCATTCGACGAAATACAACACAAGCGTCGGTTTTCTGTGAGGTCGTGGCACCACCGGTGGACCGGCCGATTCGTGCTGAAGCATGGCTTTCTCACACTTAAAACTAACCTTAAAGTTTGCTACTATTACCACTTCAACAAATAATAATGTATGTATGTTAAAACAGACATTACATGACAGTATTCTAATGGATTAATTTTATTAATCCAATCGAGCATGACCTTTAAACCTGCTTATACCTTTTAAAGGATAGCGTGTAGGACAGAGACGTAGATCTTGAGACATATGTGGGTAGCTTGTCCAACGGAATGAATTAAAAAGAAAGGAAAATACAGTTAAGGGGTGGGTTATACTTCCGCCTTAAAGCTTTGTCTAGTAAATAGTACAGCTTGCCAAAAAAGAGTTTGAAGCGGACAGCTTGGAACTAGGTAATATTGACTTGGACTGAATCACCCACTTCAGAACATATCCCATGATCCCATGAATAAACAATCATCCGAATATAGCATCGCCTCTTTTAAAATCGATAAAAAAATATATCAAAACAGGTTGAACCGTAGTGTACCAGGTTGCCACAGGAACGATACTAGCAACCCCAATTATTTTAAACTAATTTTTACCAAGCCGTATTTTATATTGGTCGAGTCGAGAGGTCCCCAGTTTAAGCTCCGACTCGTGAGATTTCTAAACCTATTAAGATTTGATTTTTTTTTAAACACTCCATAACTTAATTTTCGTCAGTCATGTTATATTTCTGTCAAAACTATATTTCCGAAAATTGATTTTTTTTAAGCCATGGTCCCACTTGATGCTTATGAAAAGCATTGGTTAAAAGAAAGCTATAAGAAAAGACGAGTGGAAGGAGAATAGGAAGGCATTTGCCCTGCAGTGGGACAAGGAATATGGACATCAAAAAACTTAAGGTCATCAGAATCATAGCTCAGATAAGACCAATGTTATGGTATGAGTTTTGGGGCTAGAGGTTATTAGGTATGCGTTAACTCAATGGCCGGGGGTAGTTAGAAGGCTATTTTTTTTAAGGGGTGAAAATCATCGAATGTCTGCTCCCGCCTTAGTGTCAGACTCCTACTGACTACAAACCACCCCGTTCCTTCTCCTGCACGTCGAGCCGGAGCCCCGGTAAACCGTTAGGTTCTCCGCGACTCCGAATCGGCATCGGCCCTGTTGGGCCCCATCTGTGGTGGTCTGATGGCTCTTTGAGGCTCTGTTTCTGGTCGGACGGGGAGCCACCCGTGCTTGCCATAGATCCGCAAGCCCGAGTTAGAAGGCTAGAGAGCTTAAAATAATTGTAGGCATTTTGAATACACTTGGGCGAAGTCATACCAAAACACTTCGGAAAATTGTTGCACTATTCTTAAACAAAATAAAAAAGACTAAAAACGATACAATTTTCGCATTTTCAGAGAGAAGACCGTATCGCCCTTAACAAGGGTCGAATTTTATGTCCCACGCTTTCAGTTAATACATTTCGTTTGTTTTCATTCAATCAACTCATCTCAGGTGTTCGTCTACTTTGTTAGAGATGTAACGTAGTAATCAATGTTTTTACACGACACGACACACCAATGTTTGTGGAATTGACCATTTTCATGTTTAAATATTGGTAGCTGTAGGTGGTGTATTGATAGGTAAGGACAAACTACACTAGTATATGTATGTAGCTGACGAAGCATGTTTTGAATGCGCTAATCTCCGCGTTACTTGTTCAAATTGAGTAATTATTATGTAAACTATAGACATACATATATGTATAGACCTTATTATGTAAACTACCTATGTTTAACAAATAAATGATTCTGATTCTATTATTTTTGTGTTGAATCGTACATTCGAGGAAGGCTATAATAAAACATCAAACTAAGATCAATAGGAGCTGAGCAACGAGTGGTCGCGCGGGTATAAGTAGTATGGATGATATGAGACTACCTGGAATTGTTCTAAAACGTTCTTTGATAATGTATCGTCAGTTACCAGTATTGTTTATTGTATGAGTCTTATGTAAGTTGTTGTTATTTAAAAATCAACTGCCCCGTTGGCCGAGTGGTCGCAAGTGAAAACAGCAAGGGGTCTCGGGTTCGGTTCCCGGGTCGGGCAAAGTATTACTGGGTTTTAAAAAATTCTCAGTAGTAGCACGGAGTCTGGAATTGTGCCCGGTATATGGCAATAGGCTCACCCCCTATTACATGGGACTCATAACATAAATAGTGAAAAGAGGGTGGTACACTGTACAGTGGCATTAAGTGCCGTTATGTGCACCTCTGC